GTTGAAGCAAAAAAACAGCCTTTAATTTCTTGTTTCAATATGCAGTTCAACTTGCATAATACTGCAAAAAATGGAGTAACATTACCTGGTGAGTGGTTTTGTTCAAGAATTCCTTATGAGATTTGACTCTTCGTATTTCTGTATAATAGTAAGTCTGTGCATGCTCATAGAATGCATTTTCCAACCTGCAACAAAGTTGCTCATAAGTTTCACTAAGTTTCTCTCATATAAAAGGAATCAGAATAACTTCTGAGTAAGTTACTTTAAATCATGCTTATGCTAAGGTTGGCAGAAATAGCTTAAAATATTACTATAATCTTCTGTAAGTAGCACACAGTAAGTGCACACAGATGAAAACTCTTCACACAAAACCTCACGGATATGTAGCACAAAACAAAGTAGCACTGAGAGCCTCATGTATTGATTTCTAGTGCAACAATCTGATAATTAAGGTGAGAAAGTCCATTGATAAACCGTCAGGATTTTGCAAGGCAATAGAAAATGGAGATCCCTCAGTTAGAGCAAGCAAACCTTGCAGAGATAAGGAGGTCAAAACTTTTCTTGTTTGGGCTAGATGGGAGAGGGAGGAATGGAAGGCAAAATGTTTTAAAGGGCAAGAAGATTATGAAGGCACAGACTATGTTTCCTCATTCTATCCAATCAGCAGCTACCTGGGTTATAAAAATGGTGGTCAAACTCGTGTCCACAAGATAAAGAGCCTAATGACAAGTCACAGGGAAAGAAGAGAAACAAAGAGGCCAAGAGCACTGAATACAGTACAAGGTGAAAGAGGACCTAAGAAGTATATGCTGCACAATCAGGACAAAGAGTAAAATCAACCAGAGCAAGAGAAAACAGAGAGCAAGAGAACAGAAGAGAAATGCATTCAATAGCAGGGCCACAGGTAGAGAATAAAGGAAGTACCAGACCTGTGAGTTTGCTGACAAAGGATGACTACAGGCCAAAGGAGATCACAACTCATGTTCTACTCGCCATACAACAGAGAGGATGGGGATGGAAACAAAGGAACAGAGCACTGAACAACTATGAGTTCAGACAAAATAAAAGGAAAGCATGATAAATTGCCTAGCATACTTATGTTAGTACCATATAGCAGCTGTATAAGACAGATCAGCCCACAGAGAAAAGGGAAGTCTTTTCTTCAAAAATAAGAATATCTTACAAAAGATATTAAATAATATATAATATTATATAATATATAATAAAATATCTTACAAAAGATGTCAATACAACTAGAATCAGAAACTCTGTACATGAATATATAAACATTTTTAAAAAGAAGTTGAGTATAAAGAGCTGTTAATTCCTAACAATATAGCCATGCCTTCAAAAAGCTGGAGACAGTAATGAATTGCCTTGGTTTGAGCTTGTGTTTTTAGACTCTCTTCCCTGTGGTTTTTTTTGGTTTTTTTTTTTTTGAGGCAATACACTCTGTATATATTAAAATAAAAAGTGTGATAATGTAAAAAAAAAGACAAAGATAGTATTTGCACCCAGAAAAATACTACTTAGTACAAATAGAAATAGATATCTATACTGCCAGGAAGTGGAGGTGGGGAAGAGAAAAAAAGTGCAAATATTTGCTGATAGAGTTACAACTAGCAAAACTTTTGAGGGGAAAAAAATATTCACAATCAGCACTGATAAAGCCATGAAAGAAGTAGAAAAGTCTGCTTTGCCTTTATCTGACACGAAGAGGGAACATCTTGGGATACTTAATGATATTTCTTTGGAAACCCAGAGTAACATCTCCAACATCATAACTCAACCCCACTTAGAAAGGGGAGATCAGTGGATTCATCAGTTGCAGAACAACGGGAAGAATTCCAATGAACAGATGAAATACACACTGCTGCTCTACAGCAAGCATGCCAGACAGCCACCATCTCAACCTGTCAACTCTTATCATCTCCATTGCCACACAGAGCAAAACAGTGATTTACAGTCACTTACCTTATAATATAGCCAACAAGATGATCAGTGTGTGGAAGCACAAAGAGGGATTTTCCAGAAAGGTCACAAGCATTACATAAAGCTGCTGCCCTCTCTGATGCAATAACATCTTCCCCTAGTGAAGGCGAGAAAATCACAGGTAACACTATGTGGTATTGCAATGTAAAGTGACCTCCAAAGCCTCGCTCAGTGCAAGGTACAAGAAAATATAACAAAAACTCCTTTTTAGTTCTTTCTGAATATTACGTGCTTCATCCAGGGGACCACATTACACAAACCTTCTAGGAGTAGTTTATCTAGCACCACGGTGTAAGTACGATTATTCCTTTGTTTAAATTTCTGATCTGCCGCATAGAATTGAATATCCTCTACCTTAAGTAAAATAATTGCTTGCCTGACACTGCAAAGCATGCATCTAGAGCTGAAACAGTGGTTCTAGAAAAACAAAAGATTAAAACACATCAAGTCTCACAGCCCCACTTTGATTTGTGTTTTTCCTCTACATTCCCTACTTTGGATCCTGACATCAAAAGGCTTCGTCAGTCCTACGTAAATAACATAGGATTTTCTTCAAATCCAGAGAAGAGTAGCAGCCATCTGAGAAATACAACAACTTCCCCACCACATCCAAAGTTGGTGTAGGAAAGGATCATTCAAGATGTGACTTCTGCAGCATTTACCTCTTCCAAGAAAGTTCTTGCACAGAGAGGAAAAACGTAGCAAGCAACACAGATGGGTGGAAAGAAGATTCACACATTTTGCTCAAGTTCACTCAAAAACGGTACTCAAAGAATACTCCACAACATACCAAGCACAAAAGCAATTCCCAATGCTAGCTGAGAATGCATGCATGAAAATCACAAGCTGTCTTCTCTTATGCTTCAAAGTTTCATTGATTAATACAGAGTTCAACTAAAGGTTTCTGCAATTACCCTCAGCTCTCAGTGCTTTTATTTTTTCTTGATCTCAAGTAAGCTTTAAAATACAACTTACTATGAAAACACATTGTTGAGGGCATTATATTAACAAACCATTTTTGATACATAGTATCAAGAGATGGGCCAGATCTGAGAGTAAGTAACAAAGAAAGAAAGTTTCACACATTTTTTAACTGCACTTAGCAGCACCTCCCTGCAGCCTCAATGTATTTTATGTTCAGATGACTATGAACTGCAGTTAATGCAACAAACTACAGTCAGCCTTTCTGAAAACTGAGATCACTGCAATTCCATACAAAGCTTTCTAGTACCTGGAGGTAATGGAGTTTTTTTCTGAATCAAAACCACAGCAACTTTTGTATTTCTTCCTTGTAAACTTTGCCTAGAATAAAAATAACACAGCTCATTAAGGCTTCCCTTCGTATTTGTGAATAATCAGATAAAAGTCCCACTTCAGTCTACACAGAAGCAATGAAAGCATGCTACATAAGAAATCAAACTGAAGACAATATGCCACGTCATCTACAGAACATGGTGTTCACCCCCTCAATAAGATAGGAAAGAATAATTGAGTTTATTGTATTTAGCAAACAACACTTCAGAAGCTGTTTTTACTTAAGTACTTTACCAAATAAGCCATACAGAAAAGTGCCTTTACTTCTAGTTGCATATTAAAAAGCAAAACAAGATCTCCTTAATTTGCATATAAGAAGATTATATACTTAAATGTTTTACAACACAATAAAAACTCCACAATTTACACTTCATCAATAGCTTATAGCATCTTACGAAGGAGATGGAGCACTACCTGACAATTTCAACCCGAGTGGCACATTCCGACTGCTTCTCTTTCCATTGTGGCTCATCCCAGTCCAGTTCATAGAACACCACCACAAGTGCAGGAACTAAATTCAGGTGTTTGTTCATCCAACCCGTCTTCAGGATCCCTTTTGGAATATACCACTCATAGGAGGTCCTCTGAAAATATTGAGGCGATTAGAACAGCCTACTAAAACCACTCACAGTCTGTTTTAGTATAGGGGAAGAAGAGGAACTGGCAGCACATGCTTGGCCTTCGAGGCTACGTTTATTATCTTTCCTTTACAATCCTTCTCAAGCCTATCAAGTAAGACACAGCTCGCCCCCCAGCAGCAGGGCCCAACGCCAAGATAGCATCCAACAAACGACAACAGGTACCAGGCGCACTTGGCAAGAAGGTTAAGCACAGGACCGTGGCAGCGTATAATGGTTTGGGTTGGAGGGGATCCCAAAGCCCTCAACCCCTGCCACGGGCTGGGCGCTCCCCACGGCCCAGCCAACCTCGGGCACCTCCAGGGCTGGGACACCCGCAGCCGTGTGCAGCAGTGCCGGTGCAGAACGGCCTCTCCGCCTCCACTCAAGCCTCCCCTCTCGTAGTGCGAAACCCCCGCCGCTGTCACCGCGCTCCGCGAAGCAGAAGAGCCGTCCCCACGTTTCCGCGCGCTCTCTTCAGGCACCGGAAGGCCGCAGCCCTACCCGCTCCGCGCCCCACAAGCCCGGCTCCTTCAACCCGCCCCCGCGGGACTCGGCCCTCGGATCAGCGCCGGCCCTCGCTACCTTCGTCCGGCACTTGGGGTACTCGTGGTCGCCGGGCAGCACCTTGAAGGAGATGGGGACGCGGTCGGCCCTCCGGTTGGCGCAGAACGCGTCCCACACGGCCCGGTGCACGGCGTTGTACACCACGTCCAGGCCGGTGAGGGTGACGAAGGCCATAGGCCGGCAGCACAGCTCCACCGGCAAGTCCCACTGGCTCGGAGTCATCCTGCTCCCCGCGGCCCCCGGCCGAAGCTGGAGGCCGGAGCTGCGGCTGGGCGCCCGGCAGCGCCGGCACCGGCGACGATCGCGGGAGGCGGGGCGGGCCGCCGCCTCAGGAAGCAGGTGCCGGCCGGGAGACGGACGGCAAAACTCACCAATCGGCGCTCGCGCGGCCAATCAGAGAGAGCCCGCCCCCGCGCCGGAGCCAGTCAGCGAAAGGAGGAAGAGACGAGGAAGACGGGAAGGGAACGCCGGCCGCGGCGGGGGCTCGCTCCGGCCTCCCGCGCATGCGTGGCAGCGGCGGGGCCGCGCAGCCCCGGGCGGGTGCGCGCGTGGTGCCTGCCGCGCGCCATGGCGGCCAATGAGGACCAGGAGGTGAGGGGAGGGGTGGGCCGGGCTGCCTCCCGCCCGGCTGAGGGGAACCGGCCCGGGAGGGGCGCGTGGCGGGGAGAAGGCGGGAAAAGCCTGAGGTGCGGGACCGGGGGGGGGGGACGGACGACCGCGGTCTTTGATCGCGCTCTGTGCCCCTCCCTCAGATGGAACTGGAGGCGCTGCGCTCGATCTACGAAGGAGACGGCTGCTTCAGGGAGCTCAGCCCGGTGTCCTTCCAGTACAGGGTAAGGCAGCGCCGCAGGCACGGCTGTGCCAGGAGGGACGTGTCGCGGGACCTTCGTGCGGCGGTGTCAGCCCGTCACGGCTGTGCGGTGCCCGGATGGGGCTGCCCGCAGGGGCGGCCCGAGGTTCCCTTGACACGCGTATCGCCGCTCTGAGTAAGCTGTATTTTTTGAAAAGAGCGATCGTGACGTGCCTGCACTGCGTCGCGATATCTTGCCAGCTTTAGCTGTCGCCGATTAAGAAGTCAAAAGTTAGGAAAACTCAATCGAAGTATCGTAAAACTTAATGTCAGACAAAGGCAGTAACACATCATTCCTGTGAAAGAATGTATGTCTTATTGCCTTTGTCCGACACCAGGTTCTGGGATTGAGAAAGCGTAGTGCAGAAAGTGCACGAGGAAGTCAAAAGAATTAGTGTGTCTCGTCGGTCTCTGGTGGCTCTCACCTAAAACAAAGGTGTTCTGTGATCCGTCTGCTAAGAAACTGAGACAAAAGAAAGGTCTTTACAGATACTGAGGAAATGTAGCATCACTGAAGGTAAGGCTACCCGATTTTTAGCTGCACTGCCAAGAAAGAACACGGTTGTGCAGCTTTCTGTGTGGATTTACTCATGGTGCAGACAGTGCCTTCCTGAGAAAAGGAGAACTTGTATGTAAACCATATGATGGGTTTTCTTCTCGATACTGCTGGGAACTGGACAGCTACAGTGTAGATGATGTCTTGATGAAAGTTGCTGATGCCTGATTTAAAGTTTTATGTATTTCATTTCTACTCCAGATGCTACTGAATGTCAGCTACTACGCTGTACTGGTACAGACATTGGAAATGAAATAACTTCATGTATCATAGAGTCATAGAATTGTTCAGGCTAGAAGGGAAATTTAAGATCATCTGGTTTTAAATTGAGACAGGGGAGGTTTAGGTTAGATATTAGGAGGAAGTTCTTCACAGAGAGGGTGGTGATGCACTGGAACAGGTTGCCCAAGGAGGTTGTGGATGCCCCATCCCTGGAGGCATCCAAGGCCAGGCTGGATGTGGCTCTGGGTAGCCTGGTCTGGTGGTTGTCGACTCTGCACACAGCAGGGGGGTTGCAAATAGGTGATCATTGTGGTCCTTTTCAACCCAGGCCAATCTATGATTCTATGATCTAGTTCCAACCCCCCTGCAATAGACAGGGATACATTGCTCTAGACCAGGTTGCTCAAAGCCCCATATGTATATACATTTATTTATTTATTAATACTTATTTTGCTTTTCCCAGGATAAAAACTGTGAGACTAATGTTCATGTCTAGATAAAAAATTTCCAGATAAAAGTTTTAATTTGTGACCAGTAGCTTTATAAATGAACAGTTGTTATCTGAAGTAATTTGATCAGTTTTAGAGAAGAGAAAGACTTTTGTATTGACAATTTAATCTTTAATAAGTGATTGGAAATTGTTGCTTTCTGATTTTTTTTTTTCCTCTTTCAGATAGGAGAAAATGGAGATCCCAAAGCCTTTCTAATAGAAGTTTCTTGGCCAGAAACATATCCACAAACAGCACCAGTCATATCGATGGATGCTTTCTTCAACAACACAATGTAAGTATGTATGATAGCTTCACTCCCTAACTTTACTTGTGGGAGCTTTTTGGTTGATGAGCTTTTTTTTCTTCTGTCTAGATTATAGATGAGTTCTATGATTTTTTTCAGATCTTCAGCTATTAAACAAAGTATACTGGATAAATTAATGGTAGAAGTTGAAGCTAATCTTGGAACTGCTATGACATACACGCTCTTTGAATATGCCAAAGATAATAAAGAATCGTTCATGGAAAATCAGCCTGTTAACACTGTGGTAAGGTGATAAATTCACATTTAAATTCATCACTTTTAAAACTGCAAAAGTAGTTAATAAACCTCAGAGTACTTCATTGCTTTACTTGTAAGGTTTACACTCAGCATACTGACTAATACATGGCTGTGGCTAAACAGTAGCCCATACGTCATGGTGCTGCAATGCTCTGTGGTAATAATTGTCTTGTTTGTTATTTTGCTGTCATAGCAAAATGTGAATGGGCTGCAAAATGACATAAAAATGGAGACTTGGAACAGAAACAAAGCTAAAGAGAGCTGGAATAGGTTAAAGATGTCTGTTCAGGTGCCAATTATTGAAAGCTTCCTGGGATGCTGTAAATTGCATGAACGTGTCTTCAGGATCTTCTGCAAGTTTTGCAGCTTCTATGTTTGCCTTTTTGTATTGCTTCCTCTTTAATGGCCCTTGTCATGCTGCAGTCTTATTTTGAGGAAAAAGGAATGATTTTTCTATTTTGGAAGTCTGAATCCCTTCAGACTAAATCACACTTCACCATCAAATTTTGACAGTGTAAGAAGTGCCCCTCGGCAACTCTGAAAAGGAGTAATTCCAGTCTCTTCTTCATGGTTCTTAAAGCTATTGCTGTCATCGTTGTATGCTGATTAAAAGCTGCAGGCTGCTGGTGGCTTTTCTTCTTTTTCACAGTAATCAGGCACAGAGGAATCTGTGCTTTTACTCTGTATTTGTACTGGATTCTGGAGTATGATAGGTGAACTAGCATGCAAAATATTAACAACAATTTTTGCCTTTCTCAGACTTCAGTAAGCAATAGTATTTCTATTGGACCTCCTGATGTGCCAGCAAATAAGAAAAAAGACAAAAAGGAACAGTTATCCAAAACCCAGAAAAGAAAGCTAGCCGACAAAACAGGTTTGTCCATTCTAGTATTGTTATGTTTGTGTTGTGCAAGAGTCAAAATTTAACAGCTGTGTTGTTTTGGTAATTGGAATCAGAAGTCTCTCGCTTATAAGATTAACTGTTTTTTAATCTAAACCAAGCAAAAGAAACACAGATTTATGATTCTTGCCTGAGATGATAGTTCTGGTAAAAGCAGTAAAAACTGTACAGTAGGGATTTTGAGGTGTCATTGATTTAATTTCATTTTGTTATTTCAGTTTGTGACAAACGTGAAGTTTTCAAACATACCATTTGGGGAAAGCATTTGGGACATCATAGTAGTCCCTTTCAACAAAAGGCTTATCTTTTGTTGATAGACTCTGATAAGTAATTCACATTATTAAAAATGTAATTTCTAAAAGAAAATGTTTGGTTGGAACCCAAAGTAGAACCTTTTAATTATTTTGTATCCTCGAGGTAGAGATGCTTCTGTGGTCACTTTGTGCTTTCAGTTAAATTCTACATTTTTTGTAGAAAAGGGTTCAATATTTTGACTTAACTCTGCTGATGAATTTTGTGTTTAGCCTCAGTTTTTAATAATGATCTAGGTAATGCTCAGTCAACGCAGCAAAAATTATATCTCATTATAGCAATTTCTAAGTATAATTTACTTAATTTAAATCCATAATTGGCATTCAAAATGTGGACATCAGATGGGAAAATCTGTGTAAGATCTAGTTGAAAGAATGCATCACTAGTGGTTGACTCAGCTCATTTAGATTTGTCTGTTAATTCAAGTGTAAAAGGTCTGAGAATTACTTCGAAGAACAGGATGCGTTCAGGAAGTAAATATGTTCTTTGTCTTCATTGCTTTGTAATGGACAAATTAAGATTTATGACTCTTTACAATTTTGTGTGTTGATTTTAATTTGTTTGTGTGTTGAAAATAAAACCTTGTTATTCTGCAGATCACAAAGGAGAGCTTCCTCGAGGATGGAACTGGGTGGACGTCATTAAGGTAGTACAGCTGTATGATAAGCAGTGTTATCAACATACTGCCTCTGTGCATTTGAGTTGATTTGTACATCTGAAGAAAACTAATCTGATTTTTTTTTCCAACTCTGTTTGGATTTGACTGTGGCATCTGATTTGTATCTGTATGCATCCAGCATGTAAGTATTATCAAGTTTTCTTTTAATATTAAAAAGATTTGCAAGCAATAGTAAGAACTGTAAAATTGTTGCTCATTTTAGATTCTAATTTGTGTAGTTCTCAAATGCTTCTCAGGCTTTGCTTGTTCAGTGGAAGTCAGTGTAACTACTTGACAATTTTGATAGCAAGCTATTTTATTTTGCACAACTATAATTGCACAGCATAAGGCTAGCACTAGTTCTTGTTGTTGCATTACATTGAGCAAATGATGATGGTGGTTGTAGGCAGTTATTCTGAACTGAAAGTAGCTGTTTCTAGTGGATGTCTTGGATTCCAGATAAATTTCCCAACAGGTTCACAATGTTTAATAATTATAAAATTAGCTTTAGAGAAAAAAAAAAGAGAAATAGTGTTTGGTTTTGTGTTGTGTAAATCTCTACGTGGAAGTCTTCCAGAGACATGTAGGGGTAGTTTCTCAATTGCTACATGTTTTAGTTTGGAGAGCAGGTGACCTGATCTTCAAATTAAATAGACCTTGTACCCTAAGATTCTTTGTGGTTTGGTTGGTTGGTTTGGTTTGGCTTTTTTTGTTTGTTTGCTTTTCCTTAAAATCAGTTGCATTTTGTATTTTTTAAAGCAGTTCACAAAATACATGAAGATAGGATTTTGGGTTCAGGAAATAAGCTTATTTAGTGCTTAAAGTTAAGAAATTATTTTTGGTGCGTTTCAATCTCTTGATACAGTATCACATTCAGTCTATATTAGTAATTAAATATACATGTGGTCTACGTAAGATGGAAATAACGTTGTTCTTGTTTCCTAATAAATGGAATGGCAGTCTAAACTTTGAACACTTTCTTTTTGTGTCTCTTCCATAGTTAAGCAAAACTGGTTCTAAAGATGATGAATAAAGGACTTTGGTACATGGAAACTCAACCTCTTAATACCGTGCAATTTTGGGTCACCGTCTTTCTCTTAATAGCTTTCTTATTTGTTGAAGTAAAGGTTTTATAAAGCTCAATTTCCTAACTCATAAACCCAGACACACAGGTTTGTCTTGAGACTACGTGGTCTTCTTCGGAAACTAAACTTGCCTTAAATGGAGGTAAAAATGTGAACAAAGGATACAGAGGGTGAATGTGGTAAAGCGAATAGTGCTATATGCAGTGTTTATTAATTTATATCTTACTCTGTAGTAAATCCTTTTATAGCGAACCCGATGATACTGTAAACATTTCCTGATGTTGTTATTCCAATGGAAGAAAAAAGCACTATAACACTGATTAGTCACTTGACAGCATAATTCATCAAAATAAATTATTCCATGGAAACAAAACTGTTGTCATTTGTTTATCTAATACAAATGTAGAAGAAGAGCATACAAATTTTTGCATCCTAAGGCAGAACTTGTTTTCTTTTCACTCGTTTTTGGCTGAAATAGCAAATACTAGTGAAAGCAAGGACAAGTGCTCTGGTTACTGAAAGAAATGAGTGGTTCCAACATGAGTCTGTGTTCTTTATTCTCTGAAGTATGCACCTGTTAGCCTTCCTCCTCCAGTGTGCATCTTTACAGAAGGTCGTGTGTTTGAAGGGAAAGAAGAGTGCAATCTGGCATATCTCTCAAGGACTGTTAGATTTTGTAGCTCTTTATTGAGATAAATGGGCATTCTTTGAAGGGTTTTGCTGGCTGAATGTTGGAACAGCCTGACAAGTCAGCGCTGCCAAATGTGTTGGGGAAACTTTTTTCTAGTGTGCTCTTATTATCAGAAAGAGAAGTCATCTTTACCATATGAACGGTTATTGAATACAAGATGCCTTAATGTCCTTTATTATTTTTGTGTGTTTTGAGATGAACCTAAATAAATACCTATTTATCTGCTGTCGTATGTGTTTTTGTTTTTTGGATTCATATATTGCCTTGCTGTATTTCTAGGGCTCCATTTGAATTTGCAAAGCATTTTCTCTGAGAGAGTGTTCCTAATGATTGGCAGAAGGATGCTTTCCTCTTTCAGTATAAGTTTGCATTTCATTGTGGGTGTGTTTGTTACTCTTAGGAGGACTAATCACTCCAGTGGGAAACAGGAAAGTAGCCATCATAGCGAGTCCAGCATCTCTTGGAGTGTATTCTGCTGTATGTGCTATGTAAAGCACATAGTGAACATTGGAGGCACAGGCTGGATGCTCTGACTGGTGGTGGTCAGATAAGAGCCTGTGCAGCCAATACAAGATAGTTTACATGGCTGTCAAATTAGGACTTCAGCTGTCAGAGTGGAAGTTTTTGTGCTACTGCTATGTCAGTAGAGCTTATATGCAAGCTATCACTGCAGTTCTCATATTCTCTTAAATTATTTCTCTTTTACCATATGTATTGCAAAATTACTGCTGATCTGCATATAATGTATGCATTATATTCATTGTCTTTATATATACAAAGTATAAAAAAACACCATACATGAAGAAAAAGCTCTGTGAAGTGTTGTGACTGCAGGTGGAGGGAAAAAATAGAAAAAAAATTCAATGTTTTCACTCTTCGGAAGAGTCTGTGAAGAGATCTGGAAGAAACATGGTCTGTACTGCTGCCATCCAGCAAGAAATGGTTGTTTTGCTGAAACTGTAGGGTTACAGTGAATAAATATATGTGTTCATATAAGGAAAATAATATTGATTCTTATGTAATGCTTAATTTTGGAAAGGCTGATTTCTTTCTGAACTCAAATCACATTTAATAAGAGTTAGCGAAGTACCCAAGATAGAACTTCTTCCAGATGATCCATTCTCATGTTTGACTGGGCTGGAGGCTTATGGTTGCAGCCTGAGCAAGACTGTCTAGGAGCAGCGCCTCAGCAAGAAATCAGTGTTGTCTGTGATCATGGAACAGGGAAGGGCTTTAGTCTCTGCTAGCATCAGAATGGTTAGAGCTTTTGCTATTCTAAATCTCACCAAGGGGAATTGACTTGCTTTTGCTAGTATCCTTGTGTCTAAGTTGCCATGACAATTTATATGAATAGTTTATTTTGGGGTCATGCGGAAAAGACAGATAAGAACCACATCTCTTGCTTTTATAGAGCTGCTGTGCGTAACAGTGAACTTGTTAACCTAGTGAAATGCCTAAATTTTCAGCTTCTTGTTTGCTTATATATCATGTGCTTGTAGGGAGATGTCCTAGCAATCTCTTCTGGTTCTTTTAGCAGGGATTTAGAACGTGTTTTGAAGTCTGCTTGGACAGGAAATATTTTGCATTAGGATTATGAGGATCAGTTCTTCATTTCTGTGCTGTTTTTAAAAGGTAATTCATTTAGTTTAACTGTTTTATGTTATAGCCTAATATTCGGGAAGAAAGTTATTTAGAAGTCTAATGGAGAGGCCTGAGCACTGGAAACGGAGGGGTGAGAAAGTAATGATTTTTGTCAAGAAATGCAGGTGTGTGTCTTTCTATACGTAGAACTATACGTGCAGAACATGACTGAGTAAACTATTGAACAATACCTTCTCCACATTTTAAGTAAAGCTTAATCTTTTTAACCAAAACTCCATTTATAACATCGTTTTTTCACTTCAGTCTTTCAGTGCATGTTTGCATTGGCTAATATTCCTGGCACCTTGGAAAGCTGTTGTTCTGTGATCGATCCATTCCTGGGGAAGCAAGGATTACACCTTAAGAACGTACTGATTGTTGTTGTGTCTACTGATATTTCTCTTTAAATCATGTAGGTGTTGAGAAACAAACCTACTGAATTCTCCAACTGTGAAAAGCAGAACAATTATGTACATTTCTTGCTCCAAATGTCTTTTGCCATTCATCACGAGAGGGTTGAACCCATCATTTATGACTTGTTTGCTTGTCATTAAGAGAGAAGAATTAAGAGTTTGTTTTCTCAAGTCCTTAAATTGCCCTGGTGCACATCCCTAGGTAGTGCCAGTCCTAGCCTCAAGTTACAGGAGCTGTTTGCAGAGGGTGCATGCTTTTTTTGGTAAACAATTTGGTGCCTCAAACACAGCTGCTTCCAAAACCTGTCCATTTCTTATGCTGCTTATGATTATGGATGTTTGAAAAACTAAAAGTTCATGGTCAAAGCACAAGGGCTGTTACCATCACGCTGGAATTCTACCTTTCTCTCTTTGGATGAGACCGAAAGGTGATCTTTAGTCATATTTGCATGATATTAAGTGCAAGTTTGTTCAGTGCTTTTAGTACCAAAACCAGGAGCTGTACTGCACTGTAGTGCATCAAATCCCACGTAATAATGCAGCTGGACTTTAAGAAGGCTGGGTGGAGTGCTTGACAGCTGTGCTTAATCACCAGTATGTACTTGGCTTCTGCTGCTCACCCTGTAGGCTTACAGAGCTGATGCTGAAATCAAGGCTGTCTGCAGTACCACTGCAACTGATGGTATATGGGGTGGGCATTTAAAGCTCACCTGGCTGGCAAGTAGTTCGATTTTGGTGACTAAAAGAAGCATAGGCAAAATGCCAGCATTTCATGAAATGGATAGGACCTTTGGTACAAGTGCAGAGGGAGGCTGTGCTACTTTTAGCCAAGGCAGCATGAGTGATTTCAGATTGTACTGTGAACTTTGTGCAGTGAAAATCATTTGAGCTGGTCTACATCAAGAATAGTTCCCCTCTGGAAATTGTTTCCTTTAGCTGTGTCTTGTGGTTTATGGTATAGCTCCCTCAGCACTTGTGCCTAGCAGCAGGATGTGGGGTAAGGAAATGTTCATTCAGCAGATAAAATACCAGAAGTGTAGAATTCTGGATGGATTAGAGGAAGAAGTAAAGGAGGAAGGAAGCATACAGGAGATAAGTCTTAATTGCTGTGAGGCAATAAAATACAACAAAGGCAAAGCTTACAGTTGCAGAGCTATAAATTTCTGAATGAAGTTGGGATATAGCGAAAGACAAGAGGATCATAGATTCTCTTTCTGTCACCACCACTTTATTCTTTCACCAACATAGCTTTGGCTTTGTTTCGGAATGGGACAATTTAATGACTGAGAAGAACTTCTCTTCCTCTGACTGTTAGGCTTCCTGTCATTCTTTCCGAGCCCATTGAAGAACCTCTGAAAGAAAGTCTGTTGTACTCTTAGCAATGACTTATACAGAACACGTTGACTAGTGCTGCAAAAAGACAGAACGTTTTACAAGAGTGATAGAATGAACTGTTTCTTTTCTCTCATTTTCATTCAAAGCAAATTGAGCAGTGACTCCACATGGCTGAATTGCTCCAGCCACGTGAGGATCTAAATCCAGATACCAGTGTCTTATGTTAGACTCAGTGTATGTCATTTGTTTTAAGTTTTACTTAGCTATCCCTTGTATTTGACCATTCATACTTATTACTGCTGATTCAGTAGTATGTTTTATATATTCATCTTTACAGTATGGCAGAAATTTTATAACTTATTATGATTGCATGTTGCAAGTTGCTTACATTGTGGGATCTGATAATGTCACAGCATTGACAGATTCAGCCAAACTATATCTGCACAGCCTTAGTGGAGAGTAATGAGGTTGCACAGATATCTCTGAGGGCATAATTTCATCTGTAGTGTGGTTATTACTCGTAATGATCAGTGACAGGGAAAAGTCATTCTAGGATGAGTTTGGAAGATAGTCAAGAACAGATAATATTTTCTTTCTACAACAAGTATCTGTTACAGCGTCACAGAGAAGCAATAAACACAGTCTTGTATGGAGTCACTGTTCAGAGCAGGATGTTGCTTTAAATCAAGTGTCTTTGTCAGTAATGCGTTTTATGATTTCCTGCGGGAAAAACAAATGTAATGAAAGCATTACTGTCTGAAGAGCTGCTGTCTGTAGGGGATCCATTTGATTACTACTTTCAGAAAAGCTATGTTCAGTTGACCTTGAAGAGAGATTTTATAACTGTGGGGAAGATGTAGCATCCCATTGATAAAAGTCTGATGGAAAGTACATAGCCCCTATAGATAATTAATACGCTTTTACAGCATTATCAGTTTTACATTCTTCTCTGAAGATCAACCCTAGAACATTACCAAGTTTCAGTTGTCAGGCATACAGCATGGTTATGATTTTTCCCCTCATTCCATATATTTTTAGATGATAGAAGTACAAGATGTGCTATAGAAATTTTATTTCCTAGATGAAAATAGTGCTAAAGTTAAAAATCCACTCAAATCAGGAAATAAGTCTCAATCAGAGGTAAGGGCATGCCAAAATTAAAGCTGCCTATGTGATACTTATGTGAAAAAGAATGGATAGAAAAATTTCCTTATGTTCCTACATGCTTCTCATCACCAGTAGTATCCAAGCAGATGCTTAGTGCTTTGCTTCCTATTGTTCCTGCTAGCAGGGAGGTGGTACAAAGGCCTGAGTTTGTGTATGATCATAATTCTGAGAGGAAAAGTAAGTTTTCATTCTACTGGAGAAAAAAATTATCAAAACTGTCCCTAGGAGAAAGTGGGGATTTGAAACAGGACAACAACATGCAGACACAAATTAATTTGGTGTAATAAAACTGACTGGATCTCAGTAGCTTTAGTACCTGCTTCAGCTCATCGCTCTGCAGTGGATCTGTGGCATATAAACACTCTTGGATAATTTTAGGTTGACTAGCTTCAATCCATGTGATTAAGCATTAAGCTTTCAGCAGATTTGTTTTATTGTAGTCAGTGCAGATTCTGATGTACTGTTGATAAGCACTAGTGACATCCTTTAGTTTCTGTTGAATGGGATGACAGGAAATGTACTGCTTACGTTTCATGCCACACATAGAAGTATGTGTGTGCTATCCACAGAGGCTGCCTGGACTTGGTTAGCAGGCATTATAATCAGTACAAACAAGTTAAAAGTTTCACAATTGTAACAGCTTATATGACTGTGGAGCCACTATTTTTGTATATTCTTTTATTTCTTAACTTGGTTATTGTGATGTTTAAAATGCTCTTGGTACAAGCAGATATATTAGCTTATTAGCTGATGTGCCAGCATGTGTTGAATAACTGTTCAGACAAATGACTTCAAGAGAGATAGAAGTTTTCTTCCTTTCTTGTGGTACCTTTTACTATCCTGCAGTAGCAAGACATATGGAGATTCATACACACTCCTCCTCTCGGCTCAAAAGTCTTCTCCCTTTTTGGGTGCACAGTAGTATTAGCAAAATAGAAGGGATTCATGTATTCATATAGTAATTCGTAGGAACACACTCGCAATTGAACTTTATCTCAGGTTCTACTCACTGGTTTATTCAGTTTCATATAATCAGTTCTTTCAGCTTATTGTCACAATGGTGATGTACTCGGCCTGGAGTACTCAGCCAGTTATAGGATACTGCCTTCTTCAAACATCTGTTGGCAAAGTAGCACTAGATGATATTTAAACTACAGTGACCCTTTGATAGGCACATGGTAACCCATGTCCTCACTGCTGTTATTTAACTCTTGACAGCTTGTAAGGACAGAGTCTGGTTCAACCCACCCATCTCAGGCTGCTTTTACCGTCTCTCAGCGCAGCTTCCATATCTGTGGCATTTGCAGAAGTTTCAGCTTTAACAGATGCATTCAGGAGGCTGCCTTGGTGATAATGACCATCTGTTACACCTTCATCTCCAAAATACAAGAAGATAATTGGTTAATAGTTGTTTACCAACAAGGTAAGAGTCAAATTTCAAGTAAGAATTAGAAGGTCTTTTAAGGTGACTAGTAAATCCACACTGAATCACAGAGATGCAAACTAGAAGGTGCCTCTGGAAGTCAGCTGGTCCAGCCTCCCTTTCAAAGCAGGACTGGTGTTTGTGATACCACAGATCACCAGTGGCTTTTTCTAGTCATGTGTTGAAATCTTCTGAGAACAGAGACTGCACAGCCGTTCAGAAGCCTTGTTTCCTTGTTAGGACTGTCTGATGCTACTAATAAGATGTGGACAACACTGAGCAGCACTGAAGGAAATTCCCAGGACAGGAAGCAATTGTACATTTTCAGAATCACTCATAAGAGTATTTTGAAAAAAGGCCACTGTTTTCTGTTTAATCTGAACAAGTGCATTAAGACCCATTGAGCTGAACAATTGTTTTCCTGCTCTCAGGAACACTCTGTTACACAGTACAGGTTAATGATTGCAAAGCTCATTCAAGGTAATAAAATCTTTGCTGAATTCAGTAGAATTCAGAGGCAGCTTCTTACTGAGCAGAGTTATACCATCAAGAGTTAAATAATCTCTGTTTTGCATACTATGTTCAATTATCCTTTTTTTTTTTTTTTCTTCCCAAAACACTGAAACCTTGTGCTGAGAAATTGATGCAACGGGCTGGTATAACAGTATGATGCTAATGAAGATAGCTTCCCTCTAGAAACACAAGACATTAAAGCTTTTTAAATCAGAAAAAGAGGCTGTACTGGAAAACAAAATACTTCTTTTCTGTCTTGCTCCCTCCTTTTAGGGGGAAAAAAAATACTTTCTTTCTGTGTGTTTAATGCTTTATCACAAGTACTGGTAGCAATAACTTTTTAAGTCAGTGTGTTGAAATGTGAAGTATATTTACCAGAGAAACCTGTGTGTACCAGTGGGGGCAGAAAGGAATAGTGAAAGAAGTTCTGCAATCTAAGCAAGTAGAGGAAGTGAATGTTGCAGTGATCTGCATGTCTTTGAGAACCAATAAGTGAGAAACACAGTAATCTAAAGGGCAGGTGGGTAGATATTTTTCTTTGCTGTTTAACAGTTACTGATAAGTAAGCATAAATAGACCCTCATCTCTTGTTCTCTTTATATATCATGGTTTTTCTATTTTCTGCACAAAACTCAGGGATATAGAACCTTGGAAGTCTGCAACTTGCTGATACACACTGAAAAGTAACTTACATGTTTGCAAGCAGCCCCTACTGTTGTCATTCTGCTGATTTTTATTTCTTTTTCTTTTTTTTTTTTTTTTTCCTGAAAAATGCTGCAAGAAATCACTGAAAGAGTCTCAGTTGGAATTTCTGGTTTTCCAGTGGAAATGGGAAAGCAGCATAACAGAGGGAAAAAGTCAGTTAAAAGGAAAAGGAACATTTGAAACTTCTGCATAATTAATCTACATTGCCATTAAACTCTTCTACAGAAAACAAACAAAAAAAAAAAAACAAAAAACAAAAAACAACCATGGGTAGCTTATGGAAAAGAAGTTCTTCTTCAGAAACTTCTAATCATGGTAAGAATCTTTGATCTGAGTTTGAGCCACATGTGATAATATTTGTCACTTCAACCTTCATTTGTAGATTGGTTATGGGATAGTGTGTGCATGCATACTCACTGTATAAAGTCACAGTTGCAAAGCAGTCAAATAACTCTTAAGTAGCTGGGGTGCTGTCAAAGACTTTATGATGAGAAAAGGCATTTACTGGAAGTGAGTATAATTTTAGGAGTATCATGACATTCTATACTGTAGTCTTTTCCTTCAGAAATATGGAAGAACAACTTGGCCTTCAATTTCCAGGAAGTTTCTGGAAAATCCAATCATAGCAAGTGTTCAAACAACATATTAACAAGTCTTGCCAAAAGTTATTTGTTGCTAAGTATGTTTGTAGCTAAGGATAAACTGTGCAGTAAAGTGAGAGAGATCGAGTGATTACTTGATTCAAAATCTGTCTTCTTGTGTTCTCTGTTGATTTCAGAGAGATCAGCTCAGTAGACTGTAATCCTCGCTGCGATGCTGTCTGCATGATGAATCCATAGCATAGTATCAAGGTGGCTCATCAAATTTTAATCCAAGAAGTACAAGGTTCTTCTATTACACCCATTTTATGGACGGTGTTTCTTAGGGAAATGGAAGCTCTTTCCTCACTGTTATACAAACAACACTGTTGTGCATAAAACTACTGTGTTGCTCCCTAGAGCAGATCACGAACAGATTTGATCTTTTTATATAATGGCATATTAGCTAACACCCAAAAGCTGCTTTCACAAACAACACGATACAGCAAATATGATTGAAATGAACATTTGTAATTATTATATGAAGTGAAGGAACTGTCCAGGTGCATAGAACTTAACTGCTGTGGTATCATTACAAATTGGTTATGTTGGAATTACATTTGGGTTGAAATCCAGATGTCAACCTGAAATTAATTTTGTGAGATTCTCTAGCACACAAAAATTTGTGTGTGTGGCAGTGCAAGTATTTGATCCTTTGATGGAGGAAAGTTTAACATAGATGAAAAGGGATTTATTTTCCACAGGGGAATTGTTAGTGCTGTAGTTTTTAAAAACATTTTAAATGGCAGAATACATAGGGGCATTGTTAAAGTATTCCTTTTTTAAAAATAAGTCATCACTTCATGCTAAATTTACAATAGCATGCTTTCAGAGCTTGTACAAACTAATAGGGCTGTGACCATAAGAAGCATAGTGAGAACCATTCTTTATTGCATTATTTCTCTGCTTTATTTTCTACTGGTGAAAGGAATTGTGTACAGCTGGAACATTTAGTTCATTCATGCTAATGACTGTTTATGTCAATCAGATTATTTGTAGAAGAAAACAGTCTGAGTTTTGCTAACCAATAACAATTCACAGTAGGAGCACCTATTTAAGGAACTGACTTCTGTGGAACAGCTCTATTTTCACAATCTCAAGATTGACTGCCAAAGTTAATGTCTTCAGTTTTCATGGAGATTCAAGATTCAGTGCACATATCTTCAGAAATTTACTTGATAAAGAGACCGTCCAGATTAGGATGAAATTAGTCCATTTAACATTTTTTCAGGTTTAAATTATTAAAATATTACTTGCAGAAAGCATGACCAGTATTATTGGAGTGGTATAAATGAGAAAGTTTCTGACTTTTGTTGGTTATTGTTACTTCTACAGATATCATTGCCAGTGGCATGTACCCTACACAAGTAAGTGCTGAAACAGGTGCATATGTGAAGGCCAACTTAAAGGTATTTGATACATACATTTTTTCCACACTTTTGTTGTATTTCTGGTAAACAACACTTGTACATTTATCTCTTGTGCATTTTTAAACATCAGGTGTTTAAATTGTCTCTTTCAAAAACTGAGCTAACTGAACTGCAAAAATCGCTCGGAAGCATCAGTCAGTGCTGAGAAATAAAATCCTATTGCAAAAGTAAGAAATCATCCCTGAAAAGCCAAAGCCATCCTGCTGCTCTAAATTAGTAAAGCCATCCATAAATGGTTTGCAAATAACGTTTTAAATTAACATTTAATTTTCATTTATCAGGTGGATTAATTAAAGAGCTCAAAAATGGGCCTTTAACTACTGTTACCTTTTTTAGCCTAATTTCATGGCATTATGGGAGCTCTCCAGCTCATTTTGCAGTACATACCTCTAGAGAGAGAATAACCCTTCCCTCCTTCTCTTCCCAGCATGTGCAAGAATGATACTTAGCATCACTGCATGCTTCTCTCGTAGCTTTTATATAGAAGAATATGCTGACTGAAGGAAGAAGAAAAAAATTTGCAATGTTACATTAACTATTGAGTGGTACTGATTACTCACACCTGGAACTAACTCAGACTGTGTCACATAGTGTATAATACAATGTGTCACCTAGTTACCTGGGTGAAAACTGTGTGTCTTTATGATACAGAATTTTGCCCTCCTCTGTAGCTACTTTGATGTGTATTGTAATTTGATCACTTACATGAGCATTTTATTTGTCTGGAATGCAAAGGAAAAGCAGCAAGCTTGGACTGAGGTCCAAGTGGTTTTTTTTTCAGGCAACTTTAGAAAAAGGGACACATTTGGTCTGCTGTCTGAAGGGAATCATTCCTTCAAGGATGCTTACCAGAGAAACTGAAAAAGCTCCACATAAGTACGGAGGGTCTGCCAATACTGAAAACCATGGGAATGCTTTCCTTGGCAGCTCTTTATATTCAACAGTAAGACAGAAAATAGAGTGCTGACAACATACTTGTGGAAAAATACAGGAGCAAAAACCTGTTGTAATTAGAAATGAACACATGGCCCAGTATAACATTAAAGATAAATTTATCTCCAAGTTAATCTTCAGTTCAGAAAGTGGTTCAAAGGAAAACCCAGCTTGCAAGCAGATCTGAAAAAAAAACATTAAAACAAGCAGAAAACCATTCTTGGCAGTGTCATATTGCCATGAAGCTCAGATATGTTTACTGTTCTTGGAAAAAAGTGAACAGAAATCCAGACAGTGATCCACACAGAGCAATAATTAGGGGACACACCGACATACCATGATGGTCCAGAGAGAAAATTTTTCTGTTTTCAGAGGATATCAAGTTATGTTGTTATAAAATTGGTCCCAGATCCTATGGGTTGTCTGCTAGTTATTATTACTGCAAATGTTGCTAGCAAACAGACAAAAAAAGCACAACTGGGATAGTTGGGGGTTCTCATTGTTTTTTGATTGGAACTTCAGATGAATTGTCTTTTTTTGTTGTCTGCTTCCTTTCCAGGAAACTGGAAGAGAAAGAAGAGGGAAGAAGAAAAGTCTTCCATGAAGAACTTGCTATCTGAACAGGAATTACATGTGTGTATCTAAATGTGAGCAGTGCCATTAAACAAATGTCTGATTATTTAATAAGTTTGGCCAATTCCATATGTAAATGTTTATGTGATGTCACCACTGAATTATTTCTAGCTCATGTACTGCTGTGGTGTTCTTTCAGATGACTGGTTATGTGTCCTTTTTCATACCAATGGAGTGAACAATCTAATAGTTTTGGGTTGTTGTATGTAGATGTAAATTCAAAGTAGAGATGCTCTCATCTTTATTCAAGAAAAACATGCTTATTTGTGCTAGATTCAAAGCAGGTAGAAATGCACTGATGGAAGAATCCTATCCTCAAATATGTAGCTGCTGTTATAAAAGAAGTTCTAACTTCCAGCTGATCTACCTGAGGTGGTATCAGAAGTGATGACCTCTCAGTCCTACAACATCAGGAAACTTTGAGGAAGTGTCAGAGATGAGACTTCCAATATTGTTGTAATGTTTTGGAGACTGTTTGTATTTAATTTGGGGACTTTTTTTGTGTGTGTGTGTGTGTGTGTGTGTGAGGGTATAGTAAGTACTGGTTTTACTATGTGAAGAAAGTATATATTGTAATCCTAGAATGTGAAAGAAGTGATAATGAAGTAAATTCTTAGCACTGTAAGAAATCTGTTGGATTAGCTTTTATGCTGTATGTAAATCAGGACTGTACTTTTCTCCTCTACATATGTGTTCTTTTTCATTACTTTCAGTTTTTGTTGGGGAAACTCCTGATGGTCATGTCTTCACAGGAATATTATAAAAGGAAAATTAAAGGTATAACTGCTAGAATAAAACTAACTGGAAATAAAGATAAGAAAATGCTAAGTGTTGCATCTCACGGGGAATCAAAAGGTGGATGGCCAATCAAGCAGATATTACTCAACACTTTCTGAGAACTCGCAAATAATCAGAAGAAAATATAGCTGGAATTCAATCTAACAAAGAATCAACTCAAATGTTTCAGATCAGCAGGATCTGTTTAATGTGTCATCTTCATTCCTCAAGCATTAACCTGTAGGTAAGCATGATATAGAGCTGCAGCTTCTTAACCACACAAACTGGATGAAATTTTGTTTCAAGTATTTCTGAAACAAGCACTTAGATCCTTTAGTTCTGCAGTTGTTTGGTTAAGGAGTAAATGTTTTTCCTTCCAGTCCATTAAGGAGATTAATATATTCTTCATTAGTCTGAGATTGGTTCACTCCTTTAATTATGGGAAGCTTTATTGCTAAGCACTTGCATGAAAGAAATACTAAGTCTGAGAAGTTACTTTCAACATTACTATCTGTGAATTAATGGTATCTTTATTCAAATGAGAAGCAATGCTTATGTTACGAAGAGCACTATTATAAGATGTATAATTTGAAAATTTAGCTTGAGTCTTTATTAATAATGCTCATAACAGGGTCATCAAATAGCTGTATGAAACTTTACTTCCCATCTTAGAGATGGTGTAACTGAGATACACACTTATTAGGGCAAAGACAACAGGACTCCGAACTGTATCTGCATATGTACCAAATTGTGCAGCACCTACCTGAAGTAACTGTGTCCCTTGATTATGTTTTATGATCAGCAAATTCTTAACTTCTCAGAATGTTCTTACTATGTTTCCTGGTCTTCATGGCACATTCTACAGGAATGTTTTCTGCAATGATCCTGTTTACAGGCAGCAAGCTTAAAGCAAATGGCTGACCTCTTTCCCCAAGCTACAGAAGATATTGCAGAAGTATGCCCCATTTGCTCTCAGACAGGAAGCATCCACTGAGATTCTTAAGACAGGTGAGACTAGAAACCAAAACATCACAGCTGGAATGACTAATGATACATTATTTCCTAAGAGGAAAAACTTTAATTTTGGTGATGAAATGAGTTAAACATGGCTGGTTTTGGTACTTCTGAGAATCTTGGGATAGGATTAGCAGTACCTAAGTGTGTGTGTTATTGCTGTGATAAATATGTAAAATAGAACTTTAGAGAGATTAATTCTCAATAACACTAAATGCCTTTTCCTGTTCAATGTACTGCTTGGTCCATTAAGCATATGCAACTGCTACAATCCACAGGCTTCTATTTAGGTTCTCCTAGGGGAGGAAAGAGCCTGGGTTTTGGCCAAACAAAATAAAATACATGCTGTGGAATTCTGTTTAACTGCAGAGAATGAAACTATTGCTACACTCTATAGAATATGCTTAATAGTGCAGTAAGAATTTACTAGAAAAAACTTTTTAGAGGAGAGGTCATGTCATTTTAAATCCTTGAGGATGCATTATGGGTTAGAGTGATGTAGAAGGCTCGGATCACTTTATCTCAATGTGCCCTGGGTGTCCTACTTCACCAATGATCCCATCAAAAACATTGGCACTAACGTGAAATTAAAACAATGAAAATCAAGAATCAAAATATTATAAGCAGTTGTTTGTTTCTGCTTAATTAAAATCTGTATCTGCTCGTTTAGTGCTACTCGTTCTTTGTATTAACAAGCTGTGTCTCACACATCTGAAGAAGCCAAGGAAAGTATTAGGTACTTTGATATTTCTTTGTCTCTTATACAAGAAGATTTTTTTGGTTTGCAACCATGCAAGTCTGTCTTTGAAAACGTTTAGTCTTAACTAATGCAGTTGAAGATTATGGCATTTTTTGTGTGTCTATAAGGGCCTGTCACTGCAGCATTATGAAAAATTTGCATATAAAGCATCTGGCTTAAGAACATTGTTTGCATATTACATAACTTTTATATGTATTTCCAGTGTCATTATGAAGTAATAGTGTTTGTTGATTTGCTATTCATAGGTCAGCAAGTGTTACTTGTTTACTTAGTGCTGGTAATTTTGCTTTCTCTCTGTTTACCCAGAAAGATAGTTTCCAAGTTTTTTTCCTGGGAGGAGAAGGGAAGTGTTTACAACTGGGACAAGGAAATTCTGGCACATGTTTGGCAGTGTTGAGCTCTGTGAGTTCAGCAGCAAACCACTGTTCATTTTGTTTGTCAACACAGAGCTCAAAGAACATGGCACAGTAAAGAAAATTTGTAATATCTCACCTCTCCATAAGAACTGCTGTGTCCTTTTCCTTTTAAGTAATAATTTCCTGTAATGTTTCAGGTAAGTGCAAATTCCCTTCCCCACTCAGGCCCTGTTGTCATCATAACTGGTTTTCTGGATCAGGCAGAGCTATACCAGTATGCTCTTAATTAAAAATGATCTGACAAACTCTGGGGCCATGTGACATCTGAGCCTGAATGAGGCTTTAACATGGCTCTGTTTTACCACAGATGTTTGTTTACCGTCGCCGTCCTTAACTTTACTAATTCTGCTTCCTTTCCATCTACCAGGCTGAAACCTGATTGTCATTCCAGGCACAAAGACATGTGAATGAGGTGTCCTATTAAACTGATATTGTCAAATGTGATGTGAGCAAATGAGCTGCACTCCTCTCATCAGTGATACCGATGACTATGCTGGTGCTGTTCCCAAGGCAAGAAAGGGGCAGGCATTGCTTCCTGTAGATTTTCATGTTTTCTGCCCTGCTAGACAGGGCTGCAAACTAAACTTCTGGGACCAAGGGAAATCAAAATTCATATTATTTCAGCTTTTTCAGATATCGTATCTGAGAACCATTCTTCATGTCAGAATTCTGGTTCCTGTATATTGTGTGCTGTGCCTCTGAGAAACCCACAGAAATGCAATTTTCAGGCTGCCATATTTTGCACATTATATGCACAGCCATCAGTGCTGAAAGCAGTCTCACGTCAGGACTGTAGGAATTGTCAGCACTATTTTTCTGTCAGTTGAGCAAAGGCTTTTTGTGGAAAGCAAATGAAACCACAGTACTTTTTAAATTTGTAAGCATGCTTTCTGGAGTGTTCATCCTTGTGGCCAACCTGAAGGAATTGAGTCATCGCTTCAGATCTTGTGAGAGGGAAATGGGTGAAAATTGCAAATGTAATATGCTTTAGTTATCCACCAGGAAAATGTATCTAGGAAAACCTAGAGACTTGAAATGTGAAGAGCTGCAATTTCCTATCTGCTCTGTATTATCACAGGAGTGAGGATTTTGGTTAGTTTGATCTGGCAAGAATTAGCCAAAATCCATAGGGTAGAAAGGTAGTTACAGGAACCCACACTTAACTAGCCTTCTGCAGTAATTTCTAGGCTAGCCTAGAAAAATGTTTGTTCCACTTGGCATAGTCTTTCATGGGGGAACAAATCCCCACTACGTACAAAATAAAAGGAAGAAAGTTTATACAGGGGATATATGAAGAAGCCTTGTTTCAGCATATGTGGAGTTCTTTTTCTAACCACTCCCCATATTGTTTCGGCTCTGTTGTCTTAGAGCAAGTTCATCTCTGTGTGATCGCTGATTAATCTTTGTAGGTTTTTGTTTGTTGTGGGTTTAATATTGTTGTTTTAGGACAGAGGAATGGTGTTTCTCACAATGGGAGAATAAGCTTGCTTGGATTTCTTTTCAACTTCAACCTCAGAGTTGCAAAGGACTTCCCTCAAAGATTTATAACACTCAGTCTTGGGCACATTAGACTCCTCTCTTGTGTATGTTTCCCCTTTCTCCCTTTCTGGATGGTTAGCAAGAACCACGAGATGATTAGATTGAATGACCTCCTGTTTATCATGTGACACTGCATTCGCATGGAAATGCCATGTTTAGTAAGATAAGAGCATTTTCATACTTATGAGAGTGAGCTGTGTGCTGCAGTCTGGGAATGGGATGTCTGGTGTCACCAGTAGTGCTGGGCTTAGGGCCAAGACATCCAGAGAGAATCCTGACCTGATCACAGCTGGTCCTGTTTTCAGCAGGAGGACAATTAGAGACATTCTGTGGTCTTTTCCAACCTGAAGTTAACTATAATCCTAAGAAGGGATGCTGTTTTCAATGCTGTAGCAACAAATTAATATCCAAAATAATAGCCAGTCTGACATAGAATGATTTCCTGATAGCAGATCTGACTATCTGACCATATATGTGGTCTTGAGTTTGGTATTTGAAAAATAAAGGTTTTCTATGACACCTCAGTGTAGCTGTTTTCTCACTCTAGCTTGTCACCTAATCATCTCCCAAATATACCTAATTTAAAATATATAATCTGATATCTGTATTGAAAAATATCATCTAATACAAACGTTTTGCTGGGGTCAGTTATGTATGAGAAGCAAGAACAGCCTTTTTCTTGACCTCTGCTGGTGAATGCCAAAAGTGTGGGTTTTGCTTACATGTATCTTATCACAGTACTGTGGGTGTTATAAGCAGGTCGATAACAGATCCATTCTGTCTCCAGTCTGCCCACATAAATGCACAGATTAATTAGTCAGCAGAGACCACAAGGAGGATACAATCTACATGCTTATAAACAAGCCAGTCTGTGCTGAATACACATAAGAACCTTATGTTATTTAATGTTAGAGGCAAATATAAAGCAGCATAAGGGAAAAGGGAAGTAATTACATTAATTCTAGAGAAGTTTCTAGGGTATTCTATCCATTGCTTTGAATTCCATTATTAAAACTACGTATCTAGTCAAGAGCTTCTGCGACCAGGTTCTTTATTTGGACCTGAAACTTGTAAGGTTTACCTTTTTAAAATTGAGAAAATGTTAGAAAGAATCATCTTTTATAAATCTCACAGGTTTTGTTTGTTTATTTTCAGAATGAAAGTCTTGATGTAAAATGTGTGCTTGCACCTTAGTTGTTTTCTTTTTTTTTTTTAATGTGATGTGTATGAAAATGTGATGCTTCATATTGCAAATGAAGCAATCCAATGAACGGACTCTACTGTTGATTCAGTTGGTCCTAGCCCTGAACAGTTTGGACTTGGTCAATTGAAGAGCTTCAATACGTTGACAGTCTTAAGTTCCCGTGACTATTCTTACTCTAAATACTCTCACTCTTGATTACTGTTTTCTGATGGAAATGTTGTTTTTCTCCCAACAAAACAATGGTAAATAGATGTTTCAGATCAACAGGTAAGCATCTGAAAAATAATTATATATATATATTTTTTATTTTTTTAAACAGGGATGCAAGTGTTATAACTTGATTTAGTGCTGCCAGTGGTGAGAGCAGAAATGTACAATTACTGATGTCTGCAAAATCTCTATGCATTTTTCTGAAATAATGTAAATTTCAGTACTCTTTTGTAGCACAGGGACTACTCATGCTTGTTTTACTATTATACTTATGACAAATTACCACAACACATGTGTTTGAGAAACTTGAATGCAGTGTGTGCATCATTCTTGTTGAAGGACTTCGATATGTGCTCAAGAATATAAATGATAAAATTTGCTTTAATTTTCACTGGATTCAACTTGCAAACGTGTAGATCTGTGTGGTTTGTAGGTAATGTATCACAGTTTTAAAAGCATGTTTTTCTTTTCTGGATCTAAACGTTCTATGACAAATGAAGAATCTTTGTGGTATGAAATTTGTGAAATAATGAATATTTTTCGAATCCTATGAACAAAATGTTTTTGAGAGAGGACATCAAACTTTAAGCTTCAAAGTATCTGTCAAGAATGGAAATCCTAGAAAATATTCTTGTCAAAAAAGCAATGTTTAACTACTTCCATATTTTAATTTATTAACTATTAGGTGCTGAAAATAGATTTGTGCCTTGATCAAATCCTTAGTCTGTTTTTTTCTCTGAATTGGAAGGGTTTGGTTCAACAAGAATCTCCTCTTTTCAACATAAATGTGTTGTGTTGTATCTTAAAGCTTTGATCTCAATTACAATCGTTGCTCTGTTGGTGTATTTCTGTGTATTTTATGAGACCCTGAATGTTTTGTTTTGTGGCTGTTACCTGTACCAGTACTATCCTGTTGCTCTCTGCAGTGTGCATTACCCACCAGAGGGAGCCGAAGCCAAGAACCGTACAGATTTTGCTTTGCCTTCCAATTTTCAGAGGCAGGAAAACTCACAGTTGAGCAATCATACATGAAGTTGGTCCTTACCACCTCTAAGCTGCTTGCTACTTGCTCAAGTCATTTGTCATTCTGAATGCATTCTAAATGCTGTGTCATAATTTGCCTTCTCCAAAACCATTAGTATATCAGTCACAGCAATCATAGAAATCTGATGGAAGCCTTTGGAAGTTCCTTAACTAACAGGCGTGCATGTTTTCTACACCACAGATTGTGGGTAATCAACCTGTTAGACCTCCTCTGAGATTATTTTTCAAATTCAAAATCTTGTCATAGAAAAATGGTCACACACAACCCCAATTTTGGCGCAGGTTTCTGTTTCTTGATAGAAACTTTTCATGAGGAAGGTATGAGAAAGTTTATATCAAATTGCTGTTTAATAGAGTTTGCTGTACAGCTTTCTCAATTAGAAATTGCTTTATATAGTCATCAATTTAGTTGTATAATGGCATAGCTTGTTGGGATTTTTTGTAGGTGTTTTCCAGTATTTCAGTGGGAATTAATCTGTCAAATGTAGTAAACAGAAATGTGAAAATTTCAAAAAGATTAGCAAGAGACTCCTGAGTTTGAAAAACAAAGGACATCTTCAGTTGTGCAGTTTCCAGTGGTACCTCCTCACCAGTGGCTATTGAATAACAGTACTATAAGACAATATGAATGTGCATTTTGAGGTTTTCTTAATAAAAATAGGAGAAAATCTTGCAAACATTTTTGGAAGAGGAGATGATTTGTATTTGCAGGGTCTTTCAGATGCAGTTACTTAGCTGTAAAGTGACCCTTTAGTCATAACTTCTGCTTTTAGTTCTCTCGGATTGCTTTTTACTCTGCTTCTAATTATTTTTGACAGCTTTTTTCCTTTGTTTCTGTGCTTAATTCGCACTGTCATTTCAATCTTTCTCTTACTTGGGTTTATTTTTCTCTTTTTTTTTTTCTTTTGTGAGATGCTGCTTTCATATACTCTGTTTTCACTTTTGACTTTCTATCACCTCAGAACTGTATTGCCTTGTATTTTATTTTGAGGTCAGGGAAGGGAAAGGAATAAATGGCAGCTGCAGATGCAGGAAATACACTCAGCTCTGTGTTTGAACATGTACTTTTTTGTTATTCCAGGTTTTTGATCAGACTGGCTCATGGCAGTAGCTGCATGAAATACACATTTCCTCATCAGATACTCCTAAACACAGGAATTGTTCCATACTTATATCAAGGAATTCAGTGAAAGATTATATTTGGTGTGTGTACAGGTTAGTAGAATGTATTTTCCCCCACTGAGAATTTAGGACTAGAAGCTCGTTTTTTGGAATTCATCTAAATATGAGCATTCCACCATCACATTTTTGTTAATTTTTTTGTTAGATCTGTTCATAATTTCTTGATACTTACTCCACAGGTCTTTATTTCTGTATTGGCATTATATAATCCCAATCCAAAAGTTACAATGGAATAATCTTAAGAGCATTTTGTAGGTATGAATATCCTCAAATCATCTTCCACTAATAAGCTGCTAATACAGGTACTTCTTCCAAACGGAAGCTGAACAGCATTCTTTCCTGGTTTGGTAAGACAGTCCAGCATGCAGGTTTTTGCAGTGTTTGTTGAGACTGTCAAACTGAAATTTCTGAGAGCAAGAGTTGTGCTAATGCACCACAGGTGTTGTTCTCTTTGTTGGTATCTTACCATGATTCATCTTTGCTTGGGGTAAATATTGCAGCCGCTGAAAAAAATTATAGGTTTCTAAGTTCTATAGGTTTCCACTTCTCCCATATGCAACTGCCATATAGAAAAAGGCAGTCATAATTCCTTATACAGTGTGTTTGACAGGATTAGAATGAAAAGTGCCACTCCTAGTCTGATTTTCCAATTGCACTGGAAATGTTCTGTATTAAGGACAGAAGTAATATTCAAAGACACATCTTGTTGCCGAGTAGAAAGCTAACGTGTTAGAAAAAGTTCCTGTAAGAGAATGGAAGCAATAAAAGATGGCTACATATACAAGGAATTATAAAGAAAGTAATCTGAAGTGCATGTTGATGTCCTTGTTAAGTCCCATATTTTGTCACTAGTACACCTGAAGGGTTTAAAAGCTAGATGTGCAGGTAGTAATGACATTGTGGCACAACAAATCATAGTGTATGCTGCAAGAAGATTCAGTGCTGGTAGAGACAGGCAAACTATTTCAAAAGAAGTAAAATCAAGCCACAATAACCCCAACTACTGTTCATGATGATCTTTTATTGCATGAAAATGTGTGGTTAATTAGCATATTTGGCAATCCGTTTTATTCATGAACTGTCACTGCCAGGGTAGTGAGATTGCCCCAGCTACCAGTTAAGTTATATGTGGCAAGAAAAGCCCAATCAGGCTGCATCAGAGCTTCTGGGTTTCATTCTTTAATGTACTCAAATAGCTGATTCTGACAGTCATAGACCTGATATTGTCACATATCTCTTGCAGTACGTTATACAAACATATCTGGAAGCAGAAGTCAGTCTTTCTTGTGTATGCATCAGATTTTATTTAGTGGTGTGACAGAATAAGGGTACAGATAACTTTTCTCTATATTGATTCTCTTATTTTATGCTGAAATAGAAAAGAAACTGTGAACGTTCAATGCTAGCAAAAGCAATATGCCTGCTAAGCTGATATGCCATTCTGTGGCCAGTGTTCAAGCAAGCAGCTGGGAATTAATGAGTACTTCCTTGTGGTCTCCAGGTAACGAAGGTTTAGAAGCTATATTCTTTCTTCTCCAGAATAGGAATTTGCACCTAGTTTTAAAAAATACTTGAGTGGCCTGTGTTGTCTTCAAGAACATCTTTTCTAAATTCTGTAGGAGTTTTTTGAAAATCACGCTGGCAGCCTTCCAGCAACTTTAGATGCCTAATTCTTGGTAAAATTCTTGCTTTTAGTCTTAACTTTTCTACCCAGCCAAGTTCTATCTGAAGGCAGCAGATTTCACTCTTGACCCTATTTGCACCTACTTCATTAATCATCTGAGTTCTCATCTAATTGTATTCAGCTGCATTCCAAATACTAATACCACTGAGATAATATTTGGGAATCTGAAGACCATCGGCATGTGACCAAGTCACATTCTGTTCCTTTTGGAGGTGAGCAATTTCATTTCTGTTGCTACTTGTTAAATAAATGAGAATTGTTTCTGTGGATCAGTTCATTTCTAAAAGGATCATACAGACGGAAGTCTCAAATTATCAATATTGTAATTCCATATTCTTTAGTTTTTGCATGTTCTGTGTTGGTATATTTCAGCAATCCCTTCTATGAGAAACGTTTCGATAAGATCTCTTGGTGCTGTTCCCAGAACACGGTTCATGTGATATCAAAGAATCCTATTGTTTTGCTAGGGACCATTTTGTCATTGGGAATTTGGACACAGGGTTTGCAAAGGGTTGGCTGAGGCCAGAATACAAAGACAAAGCTTTTGTGCTATCTGTTCTGGCAGGCCATTTTCTGTCAAAGGCCACTGTATTTCTTCATCTACAAAAATTAGTGACCCTAGCTGCCTGAGAAGTAGGAATTCTGTCTGTACTCACTGTAGTATTAAGTAACGTTGTCGTCTCTCTAGACATCACACAAGACCAATGGACTCCACCTCTTTTTTCATCTGTAACCTATAAATTTTGTCCATTGGCCAGACAATCCTGGGTGAACTGAAGGTAAGCACGCTGATAGTTTTTCTCACAGCTTTTTCATGGACCTCTTAAAGTCTGCAGCTGTAGACTGTTTTGACTTCTGACTAAATGCAAGGAGTCTAGCATTGCTGGTCACTGTAATTATTGATGGCGCAAGCTCTCATCACCAGCTTATAATATATGAGAGATGAAAAATAAGCAGGTTTTCCAGAAGCCTTAAAATTGTAGAGACCAGCTAGTATGTGTTTTGTGCATCCTTCCAAGAAGTTCTGTTTCACTAGACCAGGCTGCCCAGAGTCATATCTAGCCTTGCCTTGAATGCCTCCAGGAATGGGGCATCCATTTTGCTTTTATTAAAATGTATATTGGTATTTTCTTTCAAGCATGCTAAATTTATATTAGATGAGGTAAGTGGGATTAGGCTCTGTCTCTATTTCCTTGAACTTATAATTACATTTATTGAAATCTGCTGCACTGTAGGTGCTAGAATACAAATAAAAAAAAATACAGTTGTTAAGACAAAATGATAAAAAATTATATCTCATAATGAAACAAATTGCTTTAGCATTTGGTATGATGTACGTCTTTTTTTATAACAAGACACAAAATTCACAGCATAACAGTTTCTCTCAAATCCTAAGATATTGCTCTGCTTAATGATAGGTAGGTTATGCAACACCTGTTAGAACGCTGAGACACTGTTTCGTCCTACTTGGTATTCTTTTTTTGTTTTGATGTCACCCTTTCTATCTCGCTCTCACTCCATAGTCTCCATAACAATCTGCTACTGGAAAGTTCTTGATTAGGCAAGTGTTTTAGGGTCATAATTAAGCCTACATCTTGATTGCTTAGTTTTCTAAGTGGAAATTCTATCTTTTCTTTTTCTTAAAGACCAAATTTTACTTTGTATTAAAGACTTTTCAGTTTCAATGTGTTGTAATCAGAGTGCCTTTTCTCAAAGGATTGCAAAGCTTATTATCTTTGCTATTTACTTTCATCTGCATATATAAAGTACCAGTGGTGGACTGTGATTGTTTTGCTATGAACAGTTTCCCATCTAGCCGTATACAGTCTCAGCCCTGTGTTAGTTTCACATAATTTACCCTAATATTCTCAGTTGTTACTGCAATGGATCAATAGATCAGCTGAAGAAGTTATTCATGTGTACATATGTGTGCATGTACAGAAATTTATATGTATATATGTGGATACATATGAAAGGACTTATGCCTAGAGCTCCATACAGTTCATTGACCATTTAACTACTCACATAAATAGATAGACCAAGAATTGAAAAAAAGGACACATACTTTTAAGTAGATATAAAAAGTGCTGATACACTTCTGCAGAAAAAGTCTTGAGTTTGTGGCTAACTTGGCAGAGGTCTCCTACCACATACATTGTCTCACTGTGCTCAGTTTGCGAACCAATATTCTTTAAAGTAGCACATCCATCCTCTTTTAGTACACTTCTGTCATTATTTTTATTAACCAGAACTTAGTGCTTCCCAACTACGGTGAAGAAGAAAAAATCGACTTTCACACTGTTCAACCTAGAAACTGGAACAGTAGGCATTATGTTTTGTAAGCTTAAATACACTGTTCATATTGAAAAGTGACTGCTAGATGTAATATTTGTAAAAATAGCCAAGAGTTTGGATTGCAGATATCTGCATGAAACTACTCAGAAATGATCAGCAAAGTAAGAATTACATACTAAATGTGTTCTCTTCTTCCTAAAATTCACATACTCATTTTGCCACTCACTTTCTCTCCCACCAAAAATTAGCAGTTGGCAAAGAAAATACTGTGAAACATTCTTCCTGTGATTCTTGAATAAGTAGAAACCAAAGCATAGCATTCAGGTTTGCTTCTTGAAATACCTGAACATCTGTCATGTTTTCTGTGAGCGTGAAGAATATCGCTATTTTATGATTAATTAATTACCTATGCAACAAAAAGAAAGCAGAGCATAGCTTGCTCAAGAACTGCTGATCCAATCCATTTCCCATGCCAAAAGGCAGGATCAGTTATAATTAAACTAATGCTGACATATTTCTCTAGCCTATGTTATAGCATCTTTGTCACTGGAGATCTTTCCAAAGTAATGCATGTCACTGCTTCACTGTCATTATGATTGGATAATAATTTTTTTTTCTTAATGTCTTTTTTAAATCTTCAGTGCTCAGTGTGAAGGGCATGACTTAGATTGTCCTTTTCCTCTCACCAGAAAACTTTCTTATAACGTATGGTCTTGTTTCTAGACTTTGTTCTATATTTCATTAGAAGTCAATGTTTTCTACACCTTTCTTGTTGCTTACTTGAACTCTATCACATTAAGGGTAGTTTACAAAACTGAATAGAAGGTCTTAAAATGTGTCTTAAAACAGCGATCTTTATTTCATCTTTCTTGGCAATGTCACAAATTTAATGACATATTTGTCTTATCCTCTTCAAATGCTTTTTAAAAAATGGTAATTATTAAATATAGCATAGTAATCAATAATTAAAGAGCTATTCCTTAAGACTCATATCAAACTAAGGATGGTGTTTTATCTGACACACTATTTTTTTCTTTGTTTTAGGTTAAAAATGGTTGAAAAATTAACCAAATTTGTACCTCTTGGCAATTACTGATTATTCCTGTAGATTTATTTTTGGAGTCATGAAAACAGGTAAACTCCTGAATATGGTTGTGTTTTGTTATTATGTGTATGGCACACTATAATCATTAGTTCAAAATCCTCTACGGAACGACTCAGACAGGAAAAAAGTGAGGAAGCTGGTTAATGCTGATAAAGTTATTTCACAAAATACAAAGAATAAATGAATAGATTTTGTGCTTCTGCGATTAAAAGATTTTACATGTTTGTAAAAATTACTATGAGATTCCTCTTCAAAGAAAATGACCCTTGCATCATTTTCTGCTACTCAATTGCACCCTATCACTGATGACATTAAAACTGTAGTTGAGTACTTTGCCAGGTTTTTGCTACCTTAAAAGTGAGACAGATTAACAAATAGCAATGGCCTAGGATGGCACAAATATTAGTTTATATTTACACATTTTAATCTTTAAATTGTTGTGTTCATCTATACTGAAAATGAGCAGGACAGTGGGGCAATCATTACACAAGGGTGACATGATTATTTTTTTTATTCTGCATCAAATTTTGAACTGAAAAACCGTTCCGAGGTTGGTGAACACTCCTATTAAGAAATGTTGTATTTATATATCTTATTTTTATGTATGTATATCTGGGATATGCACAACTCACTTATGAAAAGCCTCCCCTTTTTCCAGCTGAAATCCTGAGTGTTGCATTCCAGAGTAAATATACACTCATGATACAAACAGCACAGAGAAACTCTGAGCTGAAGAAGGTACAATTTAGAAGTCCAAGCATTAACCAACATAAAGATATCCAGGGAAAAAGTGGTTATAATGGCAGCTAGCCATTTTTCCCATCCCCAACTACCCAATGAAATTCTAGTATAAGGTGATGGGATTCCCATGCCTATCTTCTTATCAAAGTAAGATTTGGAAGAAACTTATCATTTTTAAAGGCTTGCACAGTAGTAATGAGAGACAACTGAGTGAAACTGTGCAAATAATTTGTTTAGAGCTCTTGGAAATTTGGTCAGCCTAAATAGTTGTGCTGTTTAGCAATTTAGGTAAAACAGCATATGTGGTAATCTCTAATGGCTTTCAAGGTTTAAACAGAAATCTCCGTGAAATGATGAACTGAAATAAAACTATGTCAAAGCAATTCTACAGTCAGTATTTTAACAGAGTTGATTATATCAGCACTGTGCTCTACTGAAACTCGTAACACGCTGTTAAATATTTTATATTCTTCTGTTGTTCAAAAGCATGGCAAAAATTCCAATACCATAGTATTCAGTTACTTCCCATTGAGTGTAAAGACTCCTCACCCATCAGGTTGGCCCTGTTTTAGAGCCTGGCAGTAGATGATTTTCACCAGAACACGTTACTTAAATGCTTTCAGTCAATGCATTTAAACCTTCAGTAAAAGCCTGGGCTCTCTGCTGAAAGCACAAACAGCATCTTACAAGAGTGAGCTTAGTGCCATCTCATTAATCAGTGTTTGCATTACTGGCTTTTGTTCAAGAGCTTGTACACAGTGTCTCTCCTCATTTTTGCTATGCAAGGCAAAAATAAGAAGTTTCAACATCATTACGTGTTCATCTTTTTGTTTTTTTTTAACATATTGAGCCAGCTTTTGAACAGAATCTGCTTTGTGCACCTCAATCAGTTATTCAGGCTGTTGGATGAGGCACAGGCTGCTGAAAGCGTGTATGTGCACAACCCTTCTGGGGCAGTGGCTGAAAAGGAAAGGTGCAAGTGGCTAGAAAATGTCAGCAGCTTGTGTCAGTTAGAAAGGGAGAGGTAGCTGAAAGCAGCCAGCCTGGCAGAACTTGCTTCAGTGATAAAGACTTGAATGAAAGCATGTCTGTCATTTTTATGCTCAGCAGATAATTGCATTTGGAAGCTGTGCTTAATTTAGTGAGAAGGGAAAACGGAACTAGAATCTGTGTGGATTTATTTTGGCCATAAGGCTCGAGAAAGAGCCTTACCAAAAGATCTGTTGCTTTGGCAAGTACACAAACACTATCTTAAAATTAATAACTTTTTTCGTATTTAGTTTTTCAAGTAAGCTTTTCACATTCTCAGTTCTCATTCTCATTCTCTTTGGCCTAGAAATCAAAATATCAGGAATTTTTTTTAATCATTCATCTACAGATGAAATAGATACAGGAATATTTCTATATACAGCCATCAAGTTCCCCCTGCAATGCATTTCCAGAATTTGAAATACTAGGAAAAATTTGAAGTTTCCTTTAGGTTTGTTGAATTCTGGTAGGTTTTAGTAGCCTTTTACAGTTGGCAGTTACTGAAGCTGCAGCTCATTTTCTCTAGTGCACTCCACAGAAATCCACCTTTCAAATCTGTGGGTGCTTTCTTTTCTGCTGCTGTACCTCCTGCCAGCAAGCGCGGGTGACAAGTCATTAAATATAAGAGAGTTGTTAGCAAAAAAAAATTATTTAATAAAAGACTTATGTCTGACCTGCTTCCCCAAAACCAATTATGTCTCCCTGGCAACAGTCACAAGCGTGTGACAAAATAGTCAAGATTTCTCTACAGAAAAATTAAAATACTTAAAATGTCGCTTTTCAAGGAAGCATCCTATTTTATACTCAGTTTTCAAAAGTGCGTAGCATGCTTATATGAAGATACACCTTGTGGCTCAATAAAACATCATCAGCTAATGCATCAAAGTACGCTCTCCACAACAAACAGGGCCTGCTGCAGCACAGCCATGAAAATTAATGTGGGCTCATAAGTGGGTATTTCTTCTGAAGTCAACTTTAAAACAGCTCCAGTATGGTAATCACGATGGCTTAGGCTACAACTTCATCATCATGTTTTTTTTCCTATAAAGTCACCCTAAAGTATCTCCACAGTTCACCACAAATATTTTAATAATATATAACAATTCTAAATAAAATCATAATAGAGATGAATTTATCACTCTGGTGCACAGGGAGATTACAGCATTGAAAATCATAGCCAAGAAAAGTAGGTGTTTTTATGTAGAAAGATTTCAATGGTCTTTTTCTGTATTATTTCAGTTATCACTATTCAGCACTTCCAAGTTCTATGACATTAATATCAGTGGTTCTCCACAGATGCAGAAATTCCAGTGACCTAAACATTACTCAGAAATCCTAGTCACCATTTCTAAACTTCTTAAAAAGTCTTCCAAAAGCCATTTGATAACAAGATTATCTGCAGCCAGTGTCTTAGCTCTACTGGATAATTGTACAACTCTCCATGTTCAGCTGACATTACAGTGTTAGCATCTCACTATTACATCCTAGGGGGAAAACCCCATAATCATAGTTTTTTGTTTACTTTTCTGATAGAATTTACCATCTATGTGTATTTGAATATTTTTTTTGTACCTAGGATTAAAGTTTTGGATTCATTTGGGTGCTGGGATGAAGTTACTCCGGGTTTTGAAGGCTGTGATCATTGTGATCAGCCAACTCCAACTACTGGAAGGAGGAGCAAAAGCATCCCTGTGTGCAGGTCTGTAATAGTGATTGTTGTATCAGGTAATGCTTCTACAACTCTATTTCTCATCTCCCTACAGAACACAAAAATAGAATGGCCTGTTAGCGTTAAAATGTTTACAAGGTTATATCTTTGAGAAGGCAATGATGTAATTACACAGTGGGCTGCAGTTTTAGTACAGCTTTATTATCTCTGTTTTAGTTTTGAAAAATGATGGCTACTTTCTCATTTTAAGTGGGATTTCAGGGACTTAAACTTTGCTTTTCTGATGAGGTGAAAAAGAAGCCTTAGAATAGTTTTATGTTTGCACTGAAAAAGTGCAGCAGGTGACAGAGCAGTGGGCATGCAGCCACTGGTCCACAAACAACAATTAAAGGGACTCTTCACGGCCTGAAAAGCCCAGTACAGAAAGGACAGGGTCTCAAGTTGTCGAAGAGCAAGAAAGCCAGGCTTAAGAAATAACAGTACCAGGTAATCTCCACGTGAACAGCAGGAAATTGGTTTTGCTGTTGTTTACCATAAATTCCCCTCTACTTTAGATTTTTAATGTCCTTTTTCCACCACTCAAACTAACAACCTATTTGTACTTAAAAATATCTCAAGCAGCAAGTAAACAGCATTTCCATATAATCTATCCATCTCCCTCCCTTCTCCATATCAACAATAACAAAGCAATACTGCTCCCCAACCACCAGCAAATGTAGTTACTGTGGTAACCTCACGCAGCACCCCTCTGAGCTGCTGCCTCCCAGATGAACCTTGCTGTATCCTTCACTGGAAGACTATAATAGCAAGTTAATTCCCGTCTTTTCCTCAAAAAGTATGGAACAAATAAATGCACTTAGAATCTGTCAGTTTAAAACTAATTGGGCATCTAATTACATAGCACTCTGTTTGCCTCCCACAAAAATCTTTGCCTCACTGAGACCATGCAGGGGCAGAACGAAGTTGAGGGTGGTATCTGTAATCCTTACCATTTCTTCGCTTGACTGGTGACCTAAATAAAACTTTCAGTATTAGGTTTTTCCAAGATGTAATTTATACTATGGCTGTCAGGAGTTAAGATAGCAGTTGCCATGGAGCTTTAATCTTTTTTTAGGCTTTAGTCAAAGGAAGCTGGAAGTCTGCATGGTGAGTAGAGCCCTGCTCAACTGAATTTTATTTAAATTGGGACAGGATTTCACCCTAATTTTCCTAGTGGAATTTATTCTCAAAAGTTCTCAAATTCATTTAGTCTATTCTTTTTCTCAGCAGGAGATGAAAGTTTCCTTTTAGGCTTCTTAAATCACGTTACATTCAAACACAGAAGGACCCCATTGCTTCCCATCTCTTCCAACTATAAGCTGTAACTTTCTACTAGTTTTATACACGTGGCTTATCACTGGAGTGAATTCACTTACTAGTTCTACCATTTTCAATGGAGGTGTTCTATAACAATAAAACATTTGGGAGAAATTTGTTTTTTATGTGCAAAGTAAGCACTAATCCCTACACTGTAAAATAGGCTGTTAGGAAAGGAGAAGTAATTACATTTGAATCTGTATATGTGCTATTTATAACTTCCTTCATGTGTATTTAAGAAAAACAGAAGTGTGCAGTGACGTTCTGCTGGAGTGCAGTGCGGTCTCATTTCTTGCTGCTTGCAGTAGAACAGAGATGCAAGTTCAGTCTAACGTCTGCAGTTACAACTTCAAACATTCCCTACTTAGTAAACCGAAAGAATGCAAGAAGATGAAGATCTAGGTATTCTATTTCTAAGCTGTAACAGACGAGTTGCTTTTTCTTTGCACATACTTTTTCTTTTTTTCCGCGAGAGCCAATGACTAAATAGGGTGCCTTCTGGGACTAATACATATGTCACTTGAGCTGAAAACAAGATTCAGCAAGAGCTACCAAGATAGTATTAACTTTGACATATGCAACAGAAGAATTTCAGACTTCCTGACACGATAAAGTGTCTTCAGGATCTGGAGGAACTTTTATCATTGCTCTGTTAGACACAGGTATGCCAGATAGCACAGAGGGGCAAAAAAAAACTACATTAAATTGCAGCATTTAAAGCAAGAAGGACTTTTATATGAAACCTATGGAATTTTCTTCAACCTGAGGTGCCAGTATCAAAAGCTTACTGAGCTACTGGAGATAAAAGACACGTATGCAGATGAGAGGGAGAAAGAACTCGAAGCCCTTAATTTTGCTAATGTGGCAGTTGCTATATTTTAATTCCGAACAGACTGGTTGGACTTTAGGGGAAACTGAACAGGGCACAGTTCAGTCCAACTGAGTCTAAAGAACAGAATCCCAGATTAAGACTTTAAAAATCTGATCTGTTACTGTCAGCAGTGGTACAAGTTATGGTGGTGCCAAACCGCTCATTTTCATGAATTCAGGTGAACTGTAATATCTTCTTTCAAGATGAAACTAGTGACATTTAAATGCAGAGATCTTCAGAATGAGCAAATGCCATCTTCACAAAGACCTCGTTCATAGGTAAATTCAGATAAAATTGGGATTTTCACTTACCAAACTTCCATACGAGCTTCAAGACTTGGCAGTAGCACATTCACCAGTTTGGAAAGTACAGGTAATGTGTTTGGCTGGGAAACTGTTGAAAGTAGCTTAAATAGAGGAATTATTGTGCTTTTTAGTAATTAATAGGTATGAGCACATAATGGCATGTTGAAGACTACATTTAAGATATTTGTATCTATTGTAACTGATAATCAACCATATTTGAATTCAGTTACCTTACACAACAGATATAAAGTAAGACACAGCAACTGCAGGAGTTGAACACTACACAAGATCCGTAGACAAGACCAGCCCAGAAAAATGCAGTATATGCTGGAGATACCAAAATGGCCTCACAATATAGGCCAATAATTGAATGCCTCATCTTGCCTTCAAAACACTATGTTTTCTATTAGTGTTTTTTTTTCTCTTTGGTTTAAAGTTTGATTAAATGACTATTTTGTTAGGATTACACTAATCCATGGGACAGTGATCAAGAAATGCTCTTGATCTGGTGCCATTCTTTATAAATAGTTTATGAGGACATTTTACTGATGATGAATTCACGTTACTTCAAAACTGAGAGGCAAAAATCAACATAAGTGCACCATATTTTCACAAACTCAAAACAAAAGCTAAGCTTGACATCTGATCCACACTGAATTAAGATGAAGTATTAATTTTCACACAGGGAACAGTTTCCTTTTCTATCTGTATACACTTCTATCAACTCCCAGTTTGTTACCCAGATTTTTTTTGTAAGAAGCTTGTTTTGCTTCACGATAGCCAATACACATTTTCAAGCTTACCTGATTTAACAGCATTTATTTCAACTTCACTAGTGAGATTCATGCTCGTCAGAAAAGGAGTGTAATATCAAGAAGTAACACATGAGTTCTCCACTTACCTTTGGTTTCATAGTAGCATCTCATGTGCCTTCAGTAATTACCATTGAACTTGCACAAAAACAGATGTAAAACCACAAAATCTGGACATTGGTAAGAAAGACAGTGAAATGCCAAATGCCAGATAGCATTAGTTCATATCCCATGGAGGTTTTAACAATGATTTGGGAGTATTTAGAAGCAATCATTTTAGATGCACCTGTATATATTTGAAGTACCTTGCTGACTTGCTTATAAACTAGTACTGAATTACTGCTGCTTTTGAGTGTTCTCAGGTATTAGGAAAGCAAATACTGTTTCTCCAACATATCTTCACTGGGAACTTTTCATACACCCTACCAGAAGAGCTGTTAGAGTAAAATATCTCTAATGCAGAGGTGCTTTCTTTATTTGAACTACTTTGAAACAATCTAAACTTTTCTCTCTGTAACACCACAGCATACACTGTTCATACCTCACCAGTTACTTCAGGTGATCATATAAGGCTCCTGAACTCTCTTCTGTCTTCAAGCAAGTATTCTTGATATACACAGTAGAAATTCAAGCACAGCTTTCAAGATAAATTAGTAATATTAATAGTTACAGTTTCACTGTTGCTTTGTTGCTGTAATTTCAGTGTTTACTTGAACAGGTGCATTTTTTGTCTGTTTTTGTTTTAATGCTAGCAAGCATCACCATTTTATACGCACTGCTTACTGCAGTACAGCACTCCCCCATGAAGCTGGTCTACATAATAAAACTAAAACTTTGGAGCGACAACTCAGAAACATTCACTTCACACTTCCCTGCCATATGTTGCTAATATTACTTGCAAATGCTAAGTCCCGTTAAGGAATCAGATTCTAATTGTGGAAATACGCTCAGTATTTTTTGTAGCTATAGTACTTGGAGACTTGCACATTGATTGATACCGTGTGGCCGAGTAGCACTAAGTGCAGCACACCCAGCCCTCCAGCCCCAGCCGGGACAGCCCTCTAGTGGAGATGCAGGAGTGAGTTCTGATGGGATTCCATTGTTGCTTGCTTCTGGTCCTCTATCTTCCAGGCTTCTCTCAACTCAGTGTAACTGCTTTCGAGTCAGGCTAGGCCAAAGGTGATCTCGCTTCTTCCCCTGTGCTCTCAGATCACCTTAGCAGCAAAAAAAGAGGCCTGCGCAGACTTCAGAGCACTTGCAGCCCACCTGGAGCAGGTGTGCAGGTGATCTCTAATTTCCTTGCCAAGACCACCTGGGCAGAGGCAGTCTCTCAGGAAGAACACTGCTGAGCAGTAACTAAGTGTAAGCTTCAATACACCATTTATTTCTCTTCTCTATTAGTGTCTCCTATTGCAAAGGAACAGAAGCAGCTGGGGTAGAGGTGAAAAAATACTTTTTTTTTTTTTTTTAAACTACTAGCCAAGTTTAGACATTACCATTATACTTCAGGACAATACTATTACTAAGCCTGTAAGAAACCTGCTGGGATTTGTTTACTTGCTCTATTCCCATCATGCTTATATTTGTTCTTTTAATTATTTTTGTATTTGCTTTCGGGCTTTTTAGATAGTTGCTGAAGTCCAAGAACTGTGGTGCTGTGCCTAAACCTGGGTGTGGTCACACACCAAAAAATACCACTGAAGGAAAAGCAAAACTAATGTCCCAGAGAAAAATCAAACATATTTCAGCTCTTTAGAGATTATGATGAAAGTCTCATCACATTTGCAATTGCTGTTCCCTGAGATGTCTACATCCCCTCTCAAGGGATCCTTCTACCACTTCTGGGCTTATATAGACAGCGGCAAAATAAAAAAACATCTTAATAAAGACCGCATCAAGATGCTCTACGGAACTCCAAGTATGCTCTACAAAACCCACTATGAATATGCAATGCTTATACACCACAAGTCTGTCAAATCCAGAAATTGACTCCCAAGTGTAAAGTCACAAAGACAATAGTTTAATATCAACAAAAAAAAAAAGCTTAAGTTAGTGGTATTTTCTTTCTTGAAATAACATACTGGTCATACGAGAGTCACTGAAGAGGTCTGCTTTTAGCTCGGAAGACTTTTACAGTTACAGCCAAATTAAAAACCCCTATTTCTAGATGCGTGATGTTAACACAAAAACCAGAAACTTAAGACATGGGATGAAGAACAAATGCAGCTGTTAAGATGATAGCAGTTAGGTGAGGCATTTCACTGCCTTCTCCCTAACGTGAAAAGAAGTTCTCCAGTATCTTTCCCACCACCATTATTTCAAGATTCACAAGTCGTTGTTTTTAAAATACTAACGGGGTTAAATTGCAATCAAGCGCCGTATGCTTGTAACGTCTTCTGTGAAGGTCTGAAGCCACCCTGTTTCAACTATTTGGTTACTCAGTGCAGAAAGTTAAAGATCACAGAAGGTATAACAGCTTTTAATACTCCATTAATATTATAGATTAAAAATTATTGCATAGTCTTATGCATCTCCTAAAACAGCATTCTCTGGAAATTAAACATTTCAATATAAAAGGAGCAACTCTTTAAAACACGAATTGCATTCACTACCTTGATCTTCTATCCTTTTTTGATTTGTCAGTACATTTGTCCATAGTTTTCTCGTTATCTCCTCTGCACTTGGGGCAATACCATTTCCCCTTTGGTTTATAGGTGAGTCCAACACACGAGAAGTGGAACCACTCGATAGGACACTGTTCGTTATCACATCCTATCATTTCTCCGTAAGACACTTGGTTACATAAGCAATAAGTGGGTTCATTGGGATCAATTGCAAATTCCACGGGTGAAACCTCTCTCTCTTGTTTGGCTTTGGAGCGTTTTTTCTTCTTGGAGGATTTCGATCTTTTCTCTTTAGGCGGCTGATCGTCGCAGTCATCGATCCCGTTTGCTATATGGCACAGGTCGCGGCTTTCACTGGTTCGCTGCCGACGAGGCCTGCGTGAAGATCTCTCTGGCTGGCAGGACTCCATCTTCGCCTTTTCTAGAGGCTTGTCGTTTTCAGACAGATCTTGAAAACACTGAGAGTGCGTTTCCATCTGTCGGGCTCTATTCTCTACCAGTTCTAGCATCTGAGTAACTATTTGAATTTTTTCATCTCCGAGTTCTTGACTATTGATTAAAGCACGCTGGAGATGCTGCTGCAAGCGTTTCTTCTGAACGGGATCGTTCTCAGACTTGTATTTTTCATAGACATCGTCTATTTCTTTTAAAGCTTCTGCAAAACAAGCATAATACAAATAATTACACAAGATAGAAGATACATTTCTGTATTTTCTTGAGCACGTTCAGACCGATGTGAAATAGTACGAGTTTTAATTATAGTGTGCCCTACTGGGCTACATCAGGTATTTTAGTGAAGTTACACCCGAGCATCACTTCAGTGTTTAAGGTGGTAATCTGCTGCGTGAAAAGTTTCTCAAGTTCTAAGGAAAAGCAAGATAATTTTGGCTGCTGGAAAAAGGAAAGGTAAGACCAGAAAGGTGACCACTGCTGCCAAAGTGAGGTTAGTCCAAATACTGACTCAGCATCTGACAAAGCAGAAATTTTTGCTGAGATTCCATATTAGAGTTGTTACAAAGCCCTGGCCTACAAACCAAAGCTTATCTATCATACCATAGGAAGAAACTTAGAATTCACTGTAATCACATGTAATTCATGTAACCATCATATTACACTCCAAACTTAGGATATGCAGGTCCTCTACCTCCTCCTCCTTACACACGTGAAGGTTTAGCATTACCTTTTCAACAGCACTTTGTTGTAACTAAGTATGACAGTGGAAGTTACACATTAGCAATCAGGATTTAAGATAACTTAAACCACTGCAAGTGGTGCTCACTGTACTAAGAAGTTACAGCAAGTTGTGTGTTACACTGAGGCAGAACTTTTCCAAATAGGTGACCTTCAGCTTAATGCATCACAGGATGTTTTCAAGCTGCTGGTAGCGAGTGCTTCACGGTTCCACTCCTAGGCTTTCTGCTTTTTCTTGCACGTGATGCAAAAATAACTGTCTGAGTTGCTGCAAATCACAGAACTTAGACCTTTGAAGCATGTTGAATGAACCCAAATATGAGGCTAACAAATACCTTACGGGACTGCCTTTGTCTGTTCTCCACATTTGCCATTTTGATGGATTTTAAAATAATATTTTCCAGACCGAAAGTGACACTAGATCTACACAGGAAAGACGGAGGAACCGCTGAAGCAGAAGGAACTAAATCAGCAGAGCTGACAGCAAGATGTGATGGGGTGCTAGATACAGTACTGATTCCTTCAGAAATAACTTACAGATTTGTAACGGGTAAGTGAATTTATGAACGATACTCAACTACTTCCACAGCCAGAACGTACGCAGAACAGTCTCTCTTTCTGCAGACCTCTGTTTTACAAACTGCCCTTCATTTTTAAATAATTGTCTGCTTTGTACAGTTTTGGAAGGATTCAAGCTCGCACTAAATGGAAGCCATAGTTATTATCTCAGTGTTGTTCACGGTGATTTCTTTTCCTGCTGACATCTTGAAACAGCAGCTTAAGAGGGAACCGCCACTTTTTACTATAAATTCTGAAACCTGTACAGAAACAGAAACCAACAGCACTTTGTTCTACTCCAGATCTTCACCAGAGGAAGATCAAGTCAGCGCTCTGCCCACCTAATAACTCACACAGACTATTTTTCCCTCAACGCCAGTTCTCCAGCTGTCACTGAAAACCCAGGCTTTGTTTTCCTACAGCTTCAGCTGCATCTGTTGCCTTGACAGGGAAAAAATTTTGCTCCTGAAAAGTGCCAAGTAAGGCACTCTGTGGTCTGAAGAACTAGAAAGACATTATCAGAGGACAATATTCTGCTCCCACATTATCTCCTGACCAGCCCTCTGCAAGGTAAAAAGCTAACTGTGAGCATAGCTGCAGATGTCCCACACATCTCCTCGCCTGGGAGAACCCATGGGCACTCACTGCTTTTTCATAATGACAAAGAAAAAAACTCCCTCTGCATTATTGACACCTTTTGGATCGGTCACTCCCCAGATGCAGCTGATGGATATACACCAAACACCTTGCATGCATCACCATCAGGTGAAATGCCCTCCCGTTCTCCAGAGGGTAGCCGAGTTTCTAACTAGCTGATGGAGGAAAAATTTTGTACCCACAGAGATACAAGTTCACTCAAGTACTTCCTTATTAATCCCTTATTAATTGGAGGAGGCACCCGTGTCCAACTAGACAGCTTGAAAGCCTCTGCTTAAAAAAGAGACTAAAAATAACAAACCAGGACCAAGCGTCCATTGCAGTTAATCTGCTTAAGTTTGGTGGGACAGACAAAAAAAAAACTAAAAGGGTTCCAACTTCCTCAGCACGGGAGCAGCTCTGCCCCTCCTGCAAGCACCATCACTGCCATTTACACTGACCCAGACCACACGGGGGTACTTTAAGGAGATCCTGGGGCCTGGGCAGCGCAGCCCACACTCCTGCCTCACCGGGACAAGCTCCCACCCGCCCTGTCAGCGGGTCGGCGCCGCTCAGCCTCCGCGGCACGTTTCAGCGACGGCGGATACTTGCAGTGGGGCAGCACGGCAGTAACCAGAAATACAAACCGCACAGTCGTGCAGCCCGACAGCACGAGGTGGAGGGAGCGCAGCCCTACAGAACGGGCGTTTAGGAAGCAGCGGCGTCTCCGCCCGCAGCCGGGGCCGACTCCCGCCTGACGGCCCCGCGTGCGCCGACGGGCACGGCGCCCGCGGCTCCCGGCGCGGCGCGGAGAACAAGGGCTCCTAGCGGCTCCGCACCCCCCGGGCCGCGGACGCACGAGCGGGGAGCAGAGGCCGCGCTAAGGCTGAGCGCTGCGGTCGGAGCGGTTCAACCAGCGCAGGGTGCCGAGGCGGGCTGCGAGCGGCGGACCGTGCCGCAGCTCCGCACCTCGTGCTCGCAAGCTGCACCCCCGCCCGCTCCGCGGGGCCGCGTCCAACGCTTCCCCTTCCTTCCACTCCCCTCCGGGTTTTAAGCCGAGAAGGGAGGCCGGGGCCTAACGCCGGGCGCGGAGGTACCGCGGCTCCGGCTCCCCGCTCCGCCAGGGGCGGGGCTCCTCCCCGGCGGACACCGAGCGCGCCGCCCCGGCGACGCCGCCGCCGCCGCCCCCCGAGCGGGCCCGGCGAGGGGCCGCAGCCCGGAGCCCCGCTCCCCGCGCCGAGCGCATGTGCGGCGGGCGGCCGCCCCCCCCGCGCCGCCCTGCCCTCCGGTCCCTCCCTCCCCTCCCGCTGCCCCGCGGCGGAGGCCGAGTCCCGGAGCCCACCTTGGCACCGGGTGTCCACCTCCCGCAGCAGCGACACGTTGCGCTGGATGTCCAGCGGCAGCGACTCCACGCACTCCAGGTAGTCCTGCACGTAGAGCGAGAGCAGCCGGGCCCGCTCGCCGCCCGGCGCCGCCGGCCCCGCCACCAGCTGCGGCCCCGCCAGCATCATCTCCTCGCGCCAGCCGCACATCCACCGCCGGCACCGGCTCACGGGGCAGCCCCCGCCCGGCCCGCTCCGGTCTCCGGTCCCCGCTCCGCCGCCTCCTGCCGCCGCCCCTCTGCGCGCGAGCGGCCGGACCGCTCCGGGCCGCCGGGTGAGCGCGCCTCCGGGCCCGGCCGGCCCGCCCCGCCGCGGGGTCCCGCACCCCTTCCCGCCCCTGCGGAACGGCCGCCGCCGCCGCCGAAGCAAAACCCACTTGGAGCCCCCGCCCCTGGTCGCCTAGCTACGCGCATGCGCGAGGCCCTGCCCTTATAAGGCGCGGCTAGAGGCGCTGCGAGGGGTTCGCATTCTCCCGCCTTCCACTCTCGCGCGCTCCTATTGGCCCGGCGGGCGGGAGGGGGCGGGACGCGCTTCGGGGGCGGGGCCTCTCTTAAAGGCCCACGCGCCCTCCTCCCCATCTCCTACTCCGCCGACGGCCCAGGGCCGTCTCCGCTGGGAGCAGCGGGGGGGTCGCTCCCCGACGGAGGTACCTGTCGGGCGGCTCTCGGCACCGCGCGGCCCCGCGGCGGCGGGCGGAGGGATCGCCGTGAGGCGGCGGCTCGCCCCGCCCCTCCCCAGGTGCCCCGGCAGCGCCGCGCGTGGGCGGGCGGCGGTTGCGGGGGCGTTGAGGCGCGGGATCCTCCGCGGGCGCGGCGGGGTTCGTTCTCTGCACCCGCTTCAGGGAAGTGTGTGAGTTGAGCCTAGGCTTTCGCTCGCGCCAACGGGGTGTCCTGGGACGGCGGTTTTCGGAGTCTGAGGCGTTGAGTAATGGCTGTCGACAGACGGCTTTGCCCGAGTTAGCAGCGTGTTGGCAAGTGCGTGAAAAGGAACGTAAACAGGGTTGTAGGCAGAGCTTTCGCAGATTCGGAAAATGAAGGGCAGTAATGCGTGTGAATGGCTGCGGCGTTCCGCTCTGCCGTGAGGAAGTAAAGCTGAGAAGCAGATTCCTGCTACGCAGCAGAGAAGTAAAGCAAAATATGCTAATTAAAAATTCAGCGTCAATTACAGACTCCGTGCTGCAGCCCGATAGCCCCTGTGACCCGGCTTCATCTGTTCTTTTGGTGACTGTTCAGCCTTCTGCTGAAAAGCCTAGGAAGCATTTCAGCCTATGGAAATAATAAGAAAATGCAGCGTTACTGCTGAAGACGAGTCTAATGAGGGATTGCAGTTACACACCTAGCATTTAGTGCAAATGCTCAAGCGATGATATCGGGGTGCTCCTTCTAAGCCGATGGATCAGAATTGATTTTGACTACATGTGATACGCTAACCAGTACATCTCTTAAAAACTCTTGGAGCTCAGGAGGGTCAGGAAGTGTCCTGCAAGGGCAGGACTCTGACCTCAGCTTCCAGAGTCCTCCCTGAGAGATTGTTCTGGCTGCCACCCGAATCCACTTGAATCAGGAGCTTTTGCTTCTCTGAGGGGGGTACTTCCTCCATCATACAGAACGTAGACGTGTCCAGCCATAGCTGAACTAACGTGTCTCTTTTTTCCTCCTCTAGAAAGCTTTTACAGCAGTGACTCAGCAACAGGTTGCCCACGGAGTTTGTGGACGCCCCATCCCTGGAGGCCTGCAAGGCCAGGCTGGATGTGGCTCTGGGCAGCCTGGGCTGGTGTTGGCGACCCTGAACATAGTATGAGGGTTGAAAATAGATGATCATTGTCGTCCTTTTCAACCCAGGCCATTCTATGATTCTGTGATTCTATGACTCTTCCACCTTATTTACTGTTTTAAAACAAACATTTGATGGATTTACAGAGTCCAGATGTCTTAGAAAGTATGCAGTTGAAGTTTAGGGAAGCCAGGTGAGGAGTGGCAATGAGTTGGTCTCATGCAAATATGTCACAATCATTTTATTTTCTTGAGTCCTGAAGCTTGATCCTCCTCCCTTCAAGTCAACAGGAGGATCTGGTTGACTGATGGAAAAGAGCAGAGCCCCTGCTGCCAAGGATAAGCAAATGGTTTTTTTATGCGTTCTTACACAAGCTACGTTTTAAGGCCCATATTGTATTTCTGCTACACAGCATGTGAGAATCACATTGTTATTTCTTGTGAGGATCAAACATACACACCTCTATCATTAAGTTTGTGAAATGAGAGTACTCAGAGCACCCACTGGAAGTTTCATTAGTTTATCAGGTAGTTTCATTTAGACTATAGGCTATTAATTAAGACTGTTAAGAGTTAATTACCAAGATGCATTCAAGAATTTCTCAACATACAAGGTTACTCTATGCCGATGTATCACCTAGTACCATAATTAATTACTACTATGCTATGAAAAACATTTTAAAAGACGGTGAATAAAACCATAAAACAATTGAGTCCGTGCATTTGAAACAATGCCAATCACCTGATGAAAGCCTGGCTTAAAGAATTCATAATGCTGTCATGTATGTGGATGTTTTTCTTTCCACATCAGGAAATAAAGGTGGGAGTAATCCACCGTAAACATGCCTTGCCCTAAAAACGTCTGCACTGCCTATAAGGGGAGTGCAGGTCTATTGTCACAGATGTCTGCGAAATGAATTCCATTCCGTATACTGAAATGGGGTAATTAGATGCCTATAGTTACCAGTTATGAATGTGACATTTGTTACCGACTCAGTAAGGATTTGGGTTAGAAGACTTGTAAAAATAAGGGCAGCATCTCTGTGCATACCGTTTGCCTGCAGTAAAAGTTAGAATGCCAGAGGTTTTAGAAAAACTGGTAAACGTCAGGTCTGCTTTCCTAGTAGGAGCAAAGCATCTTTTGCCGTGTGAATTCATCTCTGACAACAGCATTTAAAACAGAGTTCTGCAGTCTGCTTGGGCCTACTGTTACTTCACCACTCAGACTTCAGAGTGCGTGGCTTCTGATGTTACAGCTGCCAATTCGTTTTTATTTGCAGGAATGCTACTGAAGGAAGAAAATACCTAACTGGTGTTGTCTCCCAGTGCCTTAGCAATATACAGCCAAGCTCGGAAATGATCAACTGTCATTTTCAAATTATCCTTTCATATCCTTGAGAACATTGCCCACTATCGACATAACGCTTGGTTTTCTCAGAAGGTGTACGCGAGCGTGTCCTAAATGCACCTGAAACCCTCTGCCATCACTCCCCAAGGGCTGCAGGTCTGAATGTTGAGTGCTGACGGTGCTCAGCTTGGGCCACCTCTGTACCCGCATGTCCCGGCTGGACCCGCACTCGCCCTCACTCAGTGACTCGGGTCCGGCCAGATCACAGCTGTTACCATCCCGGAGCACAAGCTGTTCGCTCCCCAGAACGAACGTCCCCGCGAGTCTGTGCACAGCTTCACCTTGTCCGTGCCGGCTCCTGCTGCAGAGGGCTGACGGCTCCGCAGGTGCCGGCTGCACAGAGCTTTGGAGGCATCCTCGTTAGCAAGCAGGATGAGGACGCTGTGATTTCGTTACAGTTTCTCAACAACAAACAGCTCTACAGAGCCGTGCCCTCGTTCAGTTGTTTCTTTGGGGGTGGGTTTTCTGATAGCGTTTTTGAACGATGTGCTTAGATGGCATAAGCAGAATTTAAAATCTGTTTTTCTACTCGATCACGTGGAGAGCTCCGGGAGAAAAGAGAGCGGGACGCCTGAGTGTTTCGAGCAGCCGTTGTTCCCGCGTGCACGGAGCAGCCCAGCCCCGAGCTCCGGCAGCACCCCGCGCGGCTGTGCAGTCCCCGTCGGCTGTTCGCGGAGGAGCGGCCGATGCGAATAAGGGAGGGCTCACCAAAAAGGGATGGCCTGAGAGTGAGCCCCGTTCTGTTGGTGCTGCGGCCCCGGCTGGCGGGACTCGCCTCCGCACTACCTGCGTGTCTGTGGCCGTGACGAAGGCCCGCCCCGCGCTCACCCGCTCGGCCCGGGAGCGTCTCAGCGGCGTGGCGTGGGCTGCGGGGCGGGGCGGGCGCCGGCGGCGCGCGGCACTCTCTGCCCGCGGTCCGGGGACTTTCCCCTAGGCGGGCACGCGGCCCTCGAGGAACAAGCGTCCTCCGTGCGTGGCCTAGAGAGCAGGTCTTCAGAACATCCCACCTCCTAGTGCTCCACCGCCGTCCTTTATGTCTCCGCAGAAGAGACTTCTGCTAGCTTATGGTGAGTAACGTCCGCCGCCCAGTTCGTCCCGTTTTGCCGGCCTCAGAAAACCGTACACTTGCGCTTGGAAGCCACTCGGCCGCGATTCAGGGCAGCAGCCGGCTGGCCGCAGCCAGGAAACGCGACTGAAGTTCTGCCGCGCGGCGCCCCGTGGGTATTTTATGCAAACCAGCGCGCCGCGGCCCCGCCCCCATGCGGACGGCGCTTGCGCAGCCCACCGTAGGGTGTGCGGCGCGCCCTGTAGGCGCCGGGGTTGGTTTGCGTTCGTCACTCAGCGCTGAGTGTCGCGTTGGTGAATTCTCACCCTTAATGCCCGTCTGCTCGTGTTATAACCTACGCGTTTGGCCACATCCCGCGCAGAACGTACAATAAAAATACCACACTTGAACTTGCAGTTTCTGTAAGAGCAGCCCCAGGCTCCTCTCGATGTCGTCGAGCACCTCAGTGCTCTGCAGTCACCAGATCGCCCCTTCGAGGCCGGCTTCGCTCCGCGGATGGGAAATGAGGGCTCTCCCACAGCAACGCGCCGCCATCTGCAGCCAGAGCTCGCGGAAGACCGGGGGGCGTGGGTCGTCCCTCACAGCCGCTCGGCATCTCCAGCCAGGCGAGGCTTCCCAGTGCCAGAAGCAAGCACCGAGTCTATCTCACACCGTGTGGGAAGCAGCGTAACAGCCTGCGGTCCAAACTGTGGGTCACGCTCCAGAAGCACGTGTGGGGAACTCCCGAGAAACGCAGCTCAAGGTAAGGCCGGCCAAAGGCCCAGCAGCACAAGGCCCCGCCGGAGGCAGGGCTGAGCTGGCCAGCCAGGAGCACGCGTCTGGTTCTGGAGGCTGGGCAGCCGCTGCTACTCAGCACCGCATCCGTACAGCACAACAGTGCTGCTGCGGTTTAGTCACTAAATGACTCAAAGTATTTAAGTGGAGGTGTTTACTGCTGAGATCCCAGGATCCCGCAGTACTCAATCAGTGAATCTGTCAATCAATGCCAGGTCACCATTAAGTGGTACTAACTACTGTAATTAGACAAGACTAATCCAAAACAACACTGAAGACATAATGCTTTCACAATTACACATCATTAACCAATAAGTCAGAACATGCGATTTGTGCAGGTATTTCCAGAACACTGAAAACATAAACCTCCTGCTTTGCTTCAAACCATCATGAACATCATGTAGAAAGTAGCTAGCAGCAAGGGGCTTGACACTCCTATCTCTGCAAGACAGCAGCAGCTTGTTTTTGCTCACCTACCCCTCAGTGAGGGTTAGAAAAGCCCAAGCAATTACTGTATAGGTCCACTCAATGGTACAGTATTGAAATTACTCATCCCAAGAAAACAACTCAACCTAGCAGGCCTTGACACTGCTCAAAGTAAAGCTTCTCTGAAGGTGTCACACAGTTAATGAAATGGCTAGAATAATTAACAGCTATAAGAAAGTACTATAAACACACATCCCAGAGATTTTATTGTTTCAGTAGCAGTCAAATATGCTTAGTATAGAAATCCATGTTTATTTGAAAAAACTGCAAAGGATTTTTCACAATATAAATTAGGTCTACTTACAGAGTTTTAGTGGCTGAAGTAGCTGTGACTCGACTGCTAATTGGTTATTTGCTAGTGTAATGTTAAATGGGATCTACACTGCTAGTGTAACATTAAATCAGATCAGGGTGTCATTTATATTGCAAATTTTACAAGGTCTCATAGAAATAGTCAACCAACTCTTTTTCTAATAACAGCAACAGTGAACACTATGAACAATACATCTGAAATGGATGACTCAACTTCTCGACTGAAGTTTCTAAACAACTTTCAATCATTCAAGTATTATGGTCCCTACATACACACTCCTATGTGGCTAAAAAAGACATGGCAGACAACTCAGCACACTGCCACCATATCGTAGTAATTACAAAATTGTCAGGTTTTAATCAGCAAGTTGTACCTTAACCGGTTAATTAAAAATAGAAGAAGTAGGTAGACTATTTTGCAAATAAAACAGCACACTAGTGTGCCACGTATTAAGGCATACCTTTAAATCCACACTTGTCATCTCTAACAAGTTTCATACAATTGCTACCAAGTGAAAGAAATAGAGTTGTCTTGCAAAACTGAGAAAGAAATACAAAATGTCTGGAAGCCTACATTTTAAAGTACAAAATTAACCTTCAGTCCTCATGTCGAAATACTATACACAGTACAAACAGCGATTCTCCCCCTATATGATCTCCCGAGGATTTAATAAAGCTGGAGGTAAATTTGAGGGTTTTGATTCTTCATCCAGAAGTACCAAATCTTCGATTTCACTACCTTTGTACTTCCTTTTACATATCTTCACAATAACTTTCTTCTTGAGGAACAATTTCAAAGCTTCTCTTGAAGCAACTGCTTTGGCGTTTTCCATGTTTTTACCACAGCCAGTACCCAAATACACAGACTTGCACCTCAGTTCACAAACTATATTTTCTAGAGAGCTCTTGTTTTGAGGTAAGTCTGCAAGTTCCTTCAGGGGAACGAAAGCAACATCTAAAGTAGCTTTTACAGACTGGATAGATGAGTTAAGAAGTTCCGCGTGATTTACATTAGGACTGAAGCCTCCCACAGCAACCAGTTTCCATGCTACAGCCTTATACAGTCTGTTGAAAAAAGGCTGTCTTTCCTTTGCATCTTCACTGGTTAACGGTTTGCACAAAGCTTTAGCAGGGCCTTCACTGGCCTGCGAACCGCTCTTGGAAGCGAGCTGTGAACTCTTGGTGGCCTGAGCCCCGCTGCGGGAGGGACCTTGCTGTGCACCACTCCGAGCGGCCAGCAGCGATGCCGCCGCCTGAGCGCTGCTCTTGGAGGTCAGCAGTGAGGCACCCTGCTGCGCGCCGCTCCGCGCAGCCAGCAACGAGGCAGCCACCTCTGCGCTGCTCTTGGAGGCCAGGAGCGAGGAACCCGCTTTGGCAGTGCCCTTAGAGGCCAGCAGCAGCGAGGTGCCCACCTGGGTGCCGCTCTTGGGCGCCAGCAGCAGTGATGTGCTTGTCTGAGCGCTGCCTTTGGGGGCCAGCAGCAGGGAGGGGCCCGCCTGAGCGCCGCTCTTGGACACGGATGGTAGACTGCTCACTTGGGTTTTGGAAGACAGCAATACAGCACTCGTTTGTGTTGTGCTCTTGGTAGCGGTCACCGGCACTGCTGCTGCCTGCAGGGTGCTCTTGGCAGCAGCTGGCGGCACTGATGCCACCTGTGGGGTGCTCTTGGTAGGGGTCACTGGCACCGCTGCTGCCTGTGAGGTGTTGTTTGTGGCAGCTGGTGGCACCTCCGCTGCCTGCGTGGCACTAGTGGTGGCAGCTGGTGGCACCTCTGCTGCCTGTGGGGCGCTAGTGGTGGCAGCTGGTGGCACTGCTGCCTGAGGGGTGCTGTTGGTGGCAGCTGGTGGCACCGCTGGTGCCTGCAGGGTGTTAGTGGTGACAGCCGGTGGCACCGCTGCCGCCTGTGGGGCAGCAGTTGGTGACCCTGAACGTAACGTAGTTTTTTCAGGTGATGGTACATTTTCACACTTGCCTTCCTTAGGGGGATTCTCTCCTGCTTCTTTTTCCGATGAAGATGGAGCTGGGCTTTGCTCAATGCTATGTTCAGCATCAGCAGGCTTTTCTTCTGCTTTTGCAATTGATTTGGTGGATGCTTCTTGATTTGAACTGCAAGTAGACAGAGAGCTTTCCGAATCTTTGCTAGTATCTTTTTCCTGCTTTTTGGGCAATGGGCTCTCTGTTTCCATAGGAACTTCTGCCTTGGTTGTTTTCACATCTTGTCCAGTGTCCTTAGAATCTTTGCATTTTTCAACAGCTCGCTTCTTGGCAGGCTCCTCTATCCCTTCTGCAAAACAAGGTAGGCATGTTACTCTCTTTGGGTTTCTGCACTGTGAAGCAATTTATCTTATTTTCTAAAACCCCCTCTAAATATTAAAAGAATATTGGGAATATGCCTTGAATTGCAATTTCAAATATAAATCTATTTTTTCAGAATATTTTAGTATTTTTTGACACAAAAATTTGAAATGCAACCTAGCATTTCAAAACACTTTAACATTTGTTTGGCAAAAAAACCGCAACAAAACACTGGCCATATGCTAGACTTTGGTTTTTGTTTTGGGATCTGAAGGCCCATATGTGTTTGTACTCTTGAAGGCCAAAGCAAAAAAGACCAAAGTAGATTTAACAGATTATCTGACCTTAAAAATAAGTGCATTTTGTCCAGTAATATCATGAGCATGTATTTAAAACACCACTTTAGGATTTCTTTTAAGAAGCAAAAGACTGAGTTTCTTACAGAGCCGCAACATTACTTTGCTTTCAGCACCAGGCAGACAGGAACACACGTAAGCTACAGCACAACCACCTACATCACGTTAAAGGAGTTGGCAACAGCTGTAGAAGTTCAAGAGCATTACTGCCATCGAAAGAGCTCGATATTGCCAGCAGAATGTAGGTGCATTACATCTGTTTTAAAGGCACCGACGAGCAAAAAAAATAGAGAGGGGAAAAAATTAAGGAGGAGCTTTAAAAGTCAGCTGTCCCGTTACTTTCTCGACCCGAGGCAAAGCTAGCACATTCAACACAAGCATGTTCTAGACTCCTATGTATTGTCACAGCTATGATCTGCTAACCATTGCTACTTGATATGCCTCTTTTCTTCACCTTGGCAACCAGTTCGTCTCTCGTGGTGCGGACGGGCGCGCCGGTCACTTGGATGCCTTCGGCCATTTCCAGCGCCTTCTCCGTGACCTGAGGCGGGTACCTGCAGGGGCGAGAGCGGGACGGGAGGGGGGGCGGGCGAGAGGGAGAGGGGAGGAGCGCCGTCAGCCGCCAGCCGGCCGCCCCCGGCCGCCCGGCCGCCGCGCAACTCACCGGCAGCCCAGGAAGACGTGGTTGGCCCACACCATGGAGAGGGAGACGAGGCGCCGCAGCTCGGCGCTGCCCGCCGCCGGCGGCTCGCCCACATTGCGCAGCAGGAACTCGCGCCGGTACCGCCAGTGGTGCTCGGGCTCGCAGGCCCCGCGCAGCGCCTCCGCCCAAGCCACCTCCTCCTCCGTCCGCCCCAGGGGCTCGGCCGCCGTCTTGTTCACCATGGCCGCTCCTTCCGCCCGCGCGGGGCCCGCTGCGCCCCGCCCGCTCGCCTCGCCAGGCCCCGCGGCGGAACAACGGCTCGGCGACCGCTCGCTCCTTCCGGCCGCGCGCGATGACCTCACAGCCGGCGCGCGCCGCCCGCCCCAGGCTGCGTTGCGGCGCGAGGGGCGGCCCCGCCCCAACGGCTCTAACGGCCGCGGCGCCGCGCGGGCGGGGCTGTGAGGGGAGCCGCGGAGGGCGGGGCTCCTGCTTCATCCGTCCTCTTGAGAGCGCTCTTGCTTCGCTTTTTGCTTTTGTCTTGCTTGTTTCGTTGCGCTGGGCTTTTTAATTAAAAGGATGGATGCATTCAAGCAGGTTCCTGCTTCCAGGAGTTTATGCTTCTGGAGAGCTCTTTGTCCGCAGCCCTCAGCACTTGAGTTTGTCAGACTGGCGTTTCTCCCTCTTCTCTCCTCTTTTCACAGGAGAAGAGGCGTCACTGTCTATGTTTTTACTTTCCTTGGGAGGTGGTGGCCAGGCGAGTTGTTGCAGCATTTTGGAGAAGCCCTCAATAAATGAGGTGTGCTAAGTGTGGGGGTTGCTGGCTGCAAAGAGCTCACACAACTGCCTGTGCAGCGCTGTACGCCGTCCTTACACTGGAAAAGCTTAGCCTAGAGTTTATTCAGAAATACTTGGAGAATTCTGTGTGGCAAAGCAATGAGTGCCTTGCAGCAGTACTCTAAGCTTCAGTCTGCTGAGGTGATGCCTTTAGAACCAGCGCCAGAAAAACAAATGCAGTTTTTCTCATGGTCTGAGGGAAGTAGGTTTCCTTTATTTTCTTGGTTATCCCACCCAGTGTTCTCTTGTGCATTGCTGGTGGCCAAAAGCAAATAAACGCTCATGAGCATGCAGGGACCTGACAAAAAGAGCAAGAAAAGGGCAGCGAGTTGCGAGTTGTCTGGTGTGGGTGACTCAGTGCTATGAGTTTGTTCAGAAACAATGTCAGGATGTTCAGAAACGGCACTGGTGTGGTGTCACTCCTCTGTATCCAGATGTCGGTCAGTCCTGTATGTGGGTTATCTGACAGTATAATCTGAAATATCTGAAGGATGCGACTGCCACACTGATGTTACCACCTAGAGATGGGGTGGACCTATCTTCTACGCCTCTGACTCCATGCTACCACGATTCTTGACTTCAGAGTTGATATGGACACTGAAAGGCAAAGGCGAATGGAATCCCTAGCAAACAAGTCTGAGAGTGCGCTCCAGCTAATATGATCCATGCTGCTGGCCTTTCTGGACATGCTCTCCAAGGAACCAGTGCTCTTTCTAACAAACATAGCTAGGGCTTGGCCCAGACTTGAAAGCTGCCCTTCAGGGATGGCAAGAATTCAAACAGGTCTGGATAGCTGTAGCTGAATTACTGGTCGTCTTGTGAAGGTAACAGAGCACGCAGCACAACCTTGAACACTCCTCAGCCAACTCAGCTGCCAAGTGAAACTACTGAGGACCAGTCCATGCTAAATTGGTAACTTACCATTTAAGAGTAGCAATTTGGGTGAATTAGACTCTAGAGAGCAATAGGGGCAATGCCATACACTCAGAGGGATTCCAAAAGTGGTATTTTTAGGCTTGCTGGTGAAATGATGCCTCGTGGTGCCAAACGTCAGAGATACCCCTCCACAGCTTAGAGTTTTGTGTCTGCTCTTGGTCAATCCATTTGTGTAAGGTAGTATAGTCTCACCTGTTAGACCTGGGCCCCTCCAGAGGTGTCCTTCTGGGGAGTATTGAAGACCCGGTACAGCTAGAAGGCCTGACACATTATCTGGTACTAGAGTGACTCAATAACTGATTAGAACAACATTTTTTTGCCCAACTTAAGAGAATGCTTCTTTGCCCTCTGACCGTATGGGTGAACACAACCACAACTGGAGAAGTCAGAATCCTTCACGCTTCTGTGCCACAAAAAGTTTTTGTGAGCATTATCTGGGCTCTGGTGCCTTTCTGGCACATTATGCTCTTAATTTGTAGTTAATTAATGCTCCTTCTGAATCAACATAGCCTTTCTCTTGGGACAAAGGCAACCAAGTCTTGGTGTCATGCTGGAAGCAGGCCAGATCCCAGCCCCAGAATGTGGAATGTCGTGCACGTGCCCACACAGACACATAGCTGTCTACCCGCAGTGCTCTCTGAGAACAAGACACATACTGTGTCGCGGGTTGATTAAAAAAGTGCGTTTAGTAGAAAAGAGAGAAAAACACTGCTGTTAATTTTAAAAAAGGAAACAAGTAGTGTTTTCGTTCTCACCAGGAAAGGCAATTTTGAAGTTAAACACCTCATTGATGGTGCTAATACTGTGCATTTAATTTTAAGATTGGAAGAAAAGAGATGTTTTTGTTCCCACCAGGGAAGGATCTTCTAAATACCACATTGATAGTAGTGTTGTTAGAGTCATTTGGGGCTTGATAATAGCTTCTTTTGGCAAGATACAACTAAAATCTCAAGGTGAATCATACCAGCATCTATAATCACAGTACTGCACCTGCACTTGCTGTATAATAAAGTTTATTTCTGCCTTTATAAACTAGTGAATTACTGTTTTTCCAGAGTCAAGTCCTGCTGAAACACAGAGGGCAGCAGCCCCAGTGAGTTCAATTATGTTCTGTGCAGTTAAGGTTAATATATAGTGACACTCGTTATTCAGCTTAATATGAGAAGTGTACCCTTAACATCACAGCAATGCTAAAGATAAAACTCAGAGTTACTGCCATAGAAGGGTAATGTCAGTGGGACCTTACTGGTCAGGCCAATAAATCCTCTGAAGACCATTTGTAGGTTGGTCCTTGTAATAAGTAAGCACTTGCATGCTCTGGCTTGTGTTGATTAGGAATGCAGTTTGTTCTGCTGGAGCAGAGCACTGAAGGTCTCTTACACTGGCCAGGGACGGTACTTGCAGGGGGACACATTTGCATGTGCCAAGGTAACCTGTCATTACTGTTGAGTGAGCCAGGGGATGTAGCAGTGCACTTCTGCCTTCTGATCTAATTACCTGAGATTGTGGAGTTGTGTTAGATACAACTGTTCCAAATAGCCCTTACAACAGCAGAAAATACTTACTAAAAGAGCATTAATGACTTTGTAAGCTTGTCAGTGGGAGGAAAGGTAGAGTAAATCTATGTTTTTATTTCACCACAGTTATACTTCTGTAAGCAGCTGCGGATTACAATGCCACCTGCTCTCCTGAGACTTCTCTGCTGAGGAAAACTTACTGAAGTTGCAGTGGACAAAACTAAAGGTAAAAATGAAGAGCTGAACTGAGAATCATTTTCACTTACACCTGTGCTCTTACTACTACCTAGAAGAACTATTTTGCATTTAGTAGTACTTTATAAGGGAACTATATAGCAACGCCTACAATAAGGTTGTCAGTTATTTCCCATTATGTGAGTGTGTTAAATTAAACCATACAACTTGCTAAACATCCATTGCTTGCTATGAAATTTTCCATGCTATGGGTGGAAGCTTAGGATGGATTTCCAGACAGAAAATGTGATCCAAGAACAAAGGTAGAGGGAAAAAAAATCGCTTTATCACAGTTAAAATATTGTAGTAATCTTTGAAGAGGCTGTATGCCAGTAGCCTGGAACTAAGAGAAATGAGAGAATAGATCTGGAGGCCAGTGAGGAAGCCAGAAAAATTGGTAGAGCAGAAAAAGACAGAATCAAATCTCAACTTCGGGCATAGGGATAAGAAGTGATGGGAAGTAGAGCACTGACAGAGGAACCATTGAGATTTGAACAGAGACCTGGAGAAGGGAAAGGGAAAACTCTGTGTGCACAGAGACATTTCAATCGATTTTTTTTCACTGCAGTATCTACTGGGATAACTGACAGGAGGAAAACACTCTCCCTTTCTAACCTTGTATGAGGTGTTTTGGTGTTTTCTTGTCTTTTCTGTGTGCTATAAACAACCAAAAGAAATAGAACCCATTTGTCTGCAGAAGTCCATCTTGTGAGACCACCTCTAGAGGGTTTTTAGATAGAAAGCATTAGGCCTTTGGCAGACAGCTCTGCCCTAGAATTGGAAAAAGCCAGAAAACAGCATTAAGAATCATAATGCAAATATTGGTGGGAGTTCATTGTGATTCAGCTAGAATCTAAATGTGTGAGAAGACTTTATCTGAAAAAAAAAAAAAGAATTTATAATGAGATGATACCGTTTACACTGAAATTTTATGTGTGCATCTCCATATGCGTACATACATATGTGCATGTCCATGAAAACAACCACACTCACACATCCACCCCTAATACAGTGTAGTTATATGTTATTATGTTTTTCAAATACTTGCATTGTTGAGAGTGTAAGCACCTGCAAACCTGGTTACCCTTGCTCCTTCAGTCAAACTATTCATGCCTTGGAGAAAGAGAAAAATTACAACTAATATTTTATTGGCTTGGGCAGCAGATAGCTGCATTACACAAATGGGTGCTATTAAATCTTTATGCCATGCTGTACCAGTATGAATTTGGAATGTACTACATATTTTGCAGCCACAAATAACTATTTTAGAAATGATATAGAGAGCTTTCCTGAAACTTCAGGCAACAATGTCAAATCTAATTTGAATTATTGCTATTGAAAATCATGGCTCTGTTTTTCATTATTGTTATAGCAATATTCCTGACAACCTGCAATTTACCTGGTATGAACAGCACCTCCGGAAAATATAGAGCTGTTCAGTGAGCTGTGGTACTTTTGTATATCCTTTCTGTGCATAGCCGTGATATTTCACGCTGATTCCACTAGATGGCGCTAAAGGAAACAAGATTGCATGGAAATACCTCTAGAAGTCCAATATAACTTGAAAAGCGAGAATTACTTTTTCATTTCATTACTGAAATAGACAAATGTGATCTCATTTTACAACCCGATGTAATAATTTTTCATCAAAATCAGTTCTTAAACACTCTTAGCTGTAGTTCTAGTTTTGACAGTGGCAAAATTACAGTGGAAGCAGTCTAGTTTCCTGAGTTTAAATACCTCTCCTACCATCAAAAAAGTAACAACTAAAAGATGCAGCTTTCAATTATTCTGCATTCTTATGTGATTATTTGCAAAGCATCTGAAGAATTTTTGGTCCTTGTTCTCCATGGTAATGCTGCCAATTCTTGCCACTTCTAAAATTGTGTGCAATTTTAAGTACGTTAGGTTTTAAGCTTATTTTAAAAACTGAGAAGGAATCAATTCAGTATTATAGGCTTCCACCTGTTGAGGAACTGCTGTATGATGTTTCAGAGACCATCTCAACTTGAAATTCCATCTGCAGTCCCTGTACAAGGTCCCCTGTTTTTTCCTGGGTAAGGACTTTGATCCTGCTAGGAAGGCACAATTACTCACTGTCATTCAGATCTATAACCATCTTTGACTCTGGTCTCTCTCTCTCTTTTTTTTTTTAACCCATTTATCTTGATGCATATGAATTTTGTTTCCTTTTGTTCTGCAAAGTCTCTTCTTATCTGATAGATGCACTGCAGATCACAGACAGATTTTTTTTAGGCTTTTGTTGGCTCTCATCCTGCTTGTGACAGTTGTTTTTTTTCCTGCACCAGACCTGGCCTGTCAAAAAGGTCCCTTGAAACAGTGCTGTTGCACTTATCTTCCTGGCCTGTGGCTGTGGCTTCTTTTTGTATTTCCTTCTCTAGTATACCTCCACAGATTTCCCTGACTCTGCAAAGCCCTTTGGCCCTCTGAGAGCATAGTTTGACAATTTTTTGGGCAGCCGTTCTGGTTCTGGCCTAAGACAGTCTCTGCTCGCAGCCATTCACTCCTGTCTCTTTGAAATCCTTGCTCGCGTGCTGGCACAATTGTTTTGCTCTGTTATGTGGTGATCCAGATTAGAATCTTGATTTGGCTGAAAAGCAATGTTGGGGAGGGAGGAGAGGCACATTTTTCAGCTGCTTATTTCTCCAGTCTGGTCTATCAAACAGTGCTTCTGCTGGTGCCACTGAGGGGCAAATATAGGTGGCGAGATGTGTGGTTGCAGGGCAGTAATGGCTTATGCCGATTCAGGTGTTGCTGTTGCTAGCTGTTGAGCCATGACCAGATCTCAACGACACTTAAGCCAAGCTAATAGCTTGCTTCTGCTGAGGGGGTAATTCTGTGTGTCCTTCCTCTTCCCTCATCCTGGGTTTCTGTGACTTTCCTTGTGCCAGCGCTGATGCTTATCTCATTCTGTAGAGACAGATGTGGGAGCCAAGCTATGAAGTCTGTGTTTAAAAAAAAGTTACATTTATGAATATCTTAATCACTTGTTGCCTGGGTGCCCACGGAGCCTCTTCTCAGCAGCAGCTGGCTGCTCTGTCAGATCAGCTGTGTTCTCAGTTGCACCAAAACACTTCACAACCTTGGTCTTTTCCTGTCATCTGCTGTCCTCTCCATCTCCTTATCTAGTCCATCTGCTTTTCTTGTAATTGTGTTAATGAAGCCCTTTTGGTCACCCTCAACATATGGAATACTCTCCCTGAAACAATCTCTGCGTCCTTCAATTCTCACAAGATTTCTTCTACCACGACACAGTAAACTGCAAGTTGATAATGCAGTTTAATTGCTTATAGGAATTACGGATTTCATTACTGCGCTGAATGTGTCCATGTATTAGTTAGAGGTGGGCATGCAGTTTATTAGGGAAGCTAAAAGAATCTTTTTTGGAAAACAGAGATTCCCAAAGCTATACCCCGAAGCAGATGTACTTCCCTAAGGTCATATATAAATAGCAGAGGCTGATTTGCTGTTGCTTCACACCTTGGATCATCATTCATGCTTGTGCAAATGGACACAGCATTGCTACTAAGCAGTTTACAATAACATCTTACAGAATTGTAAATTGCTACCCCAGAGACAAGATAGCAGAGAGTCAGCACTAACGTGGGCAGCTGAGCATGGAGACCTAGGGATTTCTTTTCACCTACCCGTTCTTGTTGTTTGGGTTCTTTTTAGAAATGTTATAAGAATATCCTAAACTTTTTTTATCCTAGTGTTTTGGTATGCTAAGGATTTTTTTTCTATTCATTTATATAGAAAATAGAAGGGAAAATAGCAAGTAAAGTTGAACATTGCCTTTGAAACAATAAAATGACCTGTGTTTGGTATGGAAAAAAACACGCTTGTGACAGAGGGCACCTCTACACCATGCAGCAGAGCACAGGACTTAGGAGAGCACCCGAAGGAGCAGCTGTAGACTTGCAAGTAAGTGTTGCTGTGCCCAAAGCACTTAACCCTGTTGGTAGGTGGTGCTAATTAGGCTGGACACTGTTCTAATTAGGTTGGACACAACACTGCAAATATGCAGTGCCTGTGACTCTGACTCCGACCTGGCTGGAGAATTCCACATGTGGCTGCATCAAACCATATGTGCATGTTGAGGGAGAGAAGCTGCTGGCCTGTGGCCTTTCTTTCATTACCCCCGTAGGGTTTAGCTGCAGTAACAGATGCATTTTTCACATACAGGTGTCAGATGTGGCTTTGTGCCAAGGTTTACCTCCCTCTTGGTAAAAATAGAAGGTACGCTCTTAAATGTATATTTCAGGCTGTGAGTTGTTGCTGTGAAGTAATGGGCATCCAATGAAGTTGCTTCTTGAAACAGGTCTGTTTTACTTCTTAATTAGGGCAGTAAGTACTGATGGAGAAGCAGGAAAGACACCAGGATGATGGAAATTTTTTCAGCAGCCATAATTTTACAGAAATGATGATTCTACTGCAAGGTCACAGAGGCGTAGAGCAGTGTGGCAAAGAGCAAATCACGGTCTCCTCCAGTACATTTATCAGGAGACCTACCTTTCACCTTCAGTGAGACAAAGCAATGTTTCAGGTTAGAGATACAATCATGACTAAAGCATTAATTCACCGTCTGTGTAAGTGGGTGGCAAGTACATTCCCAAAGCATTGCCTGCAGAATTGCTGTATTGTTAAATGACTGATAATACATCCGTAAATATAACAGTCTTTCAAAATAGTTTTAGGATTTGAGTTGTTTGTATGAGGGCTGTTGCTTATAAGCAAGAAAATATTGAACTGAAGAAGCAAATCAAAGGCATTATTCAAGAGGCAGCATTCAGAATAACCTGTGGGATGGAGGAAATAGGACATCTTTCTCTTATTTTTTTAAATGGCTTCAAGTAGTCATTTTGGCAACTTTTCTCTGTTATTTCATTTTCATTTGACAGATGGATGAAATAGAGGTTTTGTTAGAATGTAGTGAACCGTCAGTAATTAGTCCATGGTAAGTCAGCAAGG